TTTCCCGAGACATTTCTTTCAATATTGTCTTGTATTTTTTTCTGTTATTGATTTTGGCTACACCTTTTGTCCGTCAAATTAAATCAAATTCATGGAACAAAACATCCTTTAAAATCCAACTATTGGTACAGATAATTAAAGAACATCATGCAGCATCCCTTTGCACCGTGTTCCTCTGCAGACACGAAGGAAGCTGACCATGAATGCATCTGTAAATAATTAAGTGCAAGTGCTTAAGCTTTCTTGCGCCGAGAGATGTCAGTGATGAACCTCAAGGCTCCATGATGAGGAAGGTCCAGAGCGATGTCCAAGGTACTTTTAAAAACAACCCCTCATTTCATTATCTGCTCAACGAGAGGTTTTGTCTTTTACATCTTTGGCTATGAGACGACATCTAATCCCACACTGGAAATCCTCAAACTTTTCATCCAACACCCTCTGGATCAATGAAGGTATGTCTTTTTTAAAACTAGAAAAAATAAGATATATGAAAGAAGGCAATGTAAGCAAATTTGACACGTAACGGCAAGAGTTTTTTTTTTCTTAGGGTGGAGGAGGGGTTCTTTTGTTTTACATATACTGTATCAATTCAGTGCAATCCTATTGAAACGCAACAGTACAATGGTGTTTTTTGACGTTTGAAGAGTTGTTTAAGTTGAATTATTTTGCACTGTTTTCCAATTTGCTTTGTTTTATTGAGAAACGTAAAAAGTAAAATATAGTAAAAAAAAAAAATCCATTCATCCATTTTCTACCCTTTAATCCATTTCTGGGTCAGGGGGGTGGCAGTCAGAGATGCCACCCAAGTCTCATAGCACCAGCCCCTCACTGACCCTCTGCAGGTGGTGAGTCCACAGGAGGACGGCTGCTCTCTGAGTGTGAGCATAGCCTTGATCTTTCAGTGGGGGCTTTTGGGCAAAGTGGGGTTAAGTGTCTTGCCCAAGGACACAACGACAGGAGTCATCAGTGGGAGTCGGTGGAGAAGGTGCAGAGTGCAGAGGTGGGAATTGAACCCACGACCTTCTGGGCTTAAGGCCAATGCTCTACCAACTGAGCTACTGTCGCCCCAAAATAAAAAAAAATATGAAACAGAAATATTGTTGTAATGACAGCCCTCCAATATGCTGTGCAATTGTTACTGGCTCCTATTAGTGTCCTTTTAATTGTGAAGAAAGTTTGACTAAGACAATTTGGCTTTGTTTGCGTCCTCATGTGAGAGCCGTGCCGGTCACATGGGCCTTTGTGTGACCCACTGCTCTGGCTCATGTGATCCGGTATTGGCAGGTCCATATGTTTTTTTGGCGGACGGTCGACAGAGATGGGCTCTGAGTGAACGGAAGACTGATGATGCAATTCCTCTGGTGCACGGCATGTAACACAAGACCTGTGCAGCAACAAGACATTCCTCTTTGGAAATGTAATGCAATGTAATGGGAGTCCTATTGATTACATGTTATATGTTTACGTGCCGTATCCGTACCTGCTTATGCTCTGCGGGTGAAGGTTTGGAGTAATTCGAACAAGAAATATGGGTAATATTTATTGTAGAGTACTCGGCAGCCTGAGTCCTGGATCTATAGCCCTGATATTATTGCATTTCCTGTGTTTGAACTGTTTGACTCTCTAATCTGTGTTGGTGAATTGACAATTTTGAAAGTCCTCCGAGACAATTACTGTTGTAATTTAGGGCCAGACAAAAAATATATATATATTGAATTGAATTTTACACTTGTTTTTTGTGTGCCAATTTATGATTACTATTGTTTGGAGTACATCTGGATATAAAGATCTGACAAAGGCTATTTTTAGGAGACATATCATGAAATAAAATGGTAATTTAGTGTGCAATGCTATTTCATTTCTTCTTTCTTTCACCTCTACACCTCATCAACAACTTTTTGCTGTGTGTTTCCATCCTTTTTGGAGTCTTTTCCTTGATAAGGATGATTTCTATGGCCAGTTAGACATCAAGAGTTAGTTAGTACTGTGATGGGAGACCTCTGGGAACACCAGGTGACACTGCCAGGGTGAAGTGTCACAGTATGAGTCTGTTGTGTGAATGTGTGTGTGTGAATGGCTGGTCTGTGGCAACTGTGGCTACTGTGGCAGCTTATCACTAATCACGTATGGAGTGCATAAATAACGCCATGTGAAGTGTCCAGAAAAACGTCGTATAAAACCGTATTGTTATCAAGTGTTTTGATCATCCAAACTGACACATTACTATTTGACACACAGAGGTCCTCCATTACTGTGGGGTCTTCAATCAGAGGAATGCAGGTCGGTGCCCCGGCGTGCCCCCTGTCCCGAGCGACAATGCACTATAATACAATAAGTGTGAAGTAACAAGGTAATATGGAGCAGAGTGGATTGGTCCCTGGTGAAGGAGAGCAGAGGAAATGGTGATGAGATTCTAGCTTCTCCCTGAGGATGTGTTGAGAGCATTTCAGACTCCTGTTTCAGCGACTCACCAGACACACGCAACTGACCACAAATACTCACACCCATGATAATAACATTCTACCTGGTATTGCTATTTATTAATGCGCGATTGAAGAAGCTTAACAAAGACAAACGCTCTCACTCAGTTGTAACGCTGAATAAAAAAGCATTAAAGATATTTCTCTAAATACAGTTGAGCGCATGCGTCTGCAGCGTATCCATTCAAAAGGCGACGAAACCTTGAAATGCTGTCACAAAAACATGATTTGAGCTTGAACAGATTGCTAGCATCATAAACACAATATACCGCTACTAACCAAATTAATCAATAGGACTTGGAAAGAATTTCATTGGCGATGTGCCTCTGTATTAACAAAAGAGTAGCAATACCACACTTTAATCACACACGCGTCTGTGGAATGCGCAGAAATGTCTGACTGTCACGATTGGGGTCAAAGAAAATCAGAAAGCCTTCACACCACTTTTCTAATCATCGGTGTGGGTTTATAAAAATAAAAATAAAGTCAACGCTTTTTTTCTTGTCATGAATTGGAACCAATCTGAAACCTTTTAGAGTTTTGATCATAAAAAGAGTTTTATTTAGTAAATAAACACTGCAATGTGCCAAGGTGAGAGAATAGATTTATTGAAAGCGCGGCATAAAAACAAAGAGGCATAAAAGAATAAGAGGGAATGAGCTGGTATTTGATGACGGAGTGCATTCTTACATTTCAGAAGAAGAAGGAAAACAACATTCACGCAGACAATACCATAAATGATGGGAATAGCTGGCTTGCTTGTGGAATGTGCGATACATGGTGCTACGGTCAACAGGCAGGACCAATACTTTGCTGCTGCAACAGAAACACTTTAAAACTGCGGTACCAAAGTCATTATTTTTTCTTAACACTAGAACTCCTAGAGCAGTCAATTTGACGGCGTTTCAATTTGGAAGTGTAATTACTTTGCTCATGTGCGTCTTCGGTCTTTTTCTGTTTCTATATGTAGTTAGTATCTATGTAATTATATTTATGAAATGATCTCGACCCTAGGCTGGTTTAGAGCATTCTCATTATGGAGCAAGTGCTAGTAACCATAGCAACAAGCCATTTACTTGCATCAGTTTTAGAGATTTAATTTTTCTGTATTTAATGTACTGTATATGAACCAGTTTTAGTATGTATTATTATGTATATGAATTTAGGGGGATTTTTCCAGAAGTCCATTTGTTTCAATCCATTTATATACAGTAGCATTTGAATGGGAGCCGTCAAAATCACTGCTTTGGGAGTTCTAGTAGTTTCAGAATTCTGGGAGTCCTAGTATTAATGAATGGAAAGTCTTAGTCCTCAATGTTTTTGTTTTCTAGAAAACATTGACGCTCCTCTCTTATTCACTTTTCTGTCTCAAATGTTGATTGAAAGATGTTAAAGAGGCCAAAAAAGAAGTATGCATGCAACAACTATAGATAGAACCATTTGCAGAGTGAGGAACTAGTCAAATGATTTGTATAATATATTTCATAATTTGGTGGTTTGAAAGTCAGGTACCCCAGCTTTAAGAACGCCCAAACAGCACTGACGCTTTTGGTTCACAAAGCACTGGTCACACTCTGCATCTTTGACCACTGTGAAGATTACATAAATCAGGAATTCAACTCTTCTCGAAAAGACACATTGTACAATGTGGGTAAATCTCAAACAGTATGAAAAGTTTTGATAATTGCATTAATTTGACATATTTTGAATGTAACGGCACCTGATAAAAACAATAATTTTTAAGTGGGAAAATATGTTGACAATTCCAAGAAGTAGAGCAGTGTTCTAGAACTGATGACATCACAAGTAGGGATGGACAGGAGCTTGGCACAATTTATAGCAAATTTTTTTTGATGACATTATAATGATTCACTGAACTAAATAAAATGTTTTATATATTTTAATAATTTCAATAAAAAACATGAGATATTTTGGCACAATTTATTACATCCCGAGTGTGATGTCATCAATCATAACAATAGACTGTATATAGATGTGTAATGCTAACCCGCTAGCTTAATGAAGCCCAAAAAGAAAGTGCTCAAGGATGAAGTTTTGTTCCAACTCGCTTTGGGCTTCTATTGACATGGCGCCTTAAAATGCCCATATAAGGAAATTTGCTCCAGCTAGCTTATGTTAAAATTGTTCTCTTCCGCGTCAAGGCTAACGCTATGTCAGTCTACTCCTAATATACAGTCTATAATCACAACCAGGAAGTCCAATAAATACATCTAAAAATATAGTCAAAATGTGTAAAAAAAAAAACAAAAACTTGAAGTGCACGAATCAATACTTTACGTTAAAGAGCAATATAACAAATGTACAATAAATACAAAAGCGTTTCCTCATTTGGTTAAAAAAAAAAAGTGTTTTTTTGTTTTGTTTTTTCAATTTCCCCTTTTAGAAGACTGAACAAAGTAGAGGTAAGACATTATAGAGTCTATGGGTAAGACATGAAATTAGATCAGACTAAGACAAACATGAAAATATAAAAATGGTGTTTTGAGCGGACGCTGGTGCTCAGTCCACATTTCTGTAACGGGTGAAGAGGTTGTAGAGGACTCGGAGCGTGGACTTCAGATCACAGTTGACAATATCTGCAACAAGTTGAGAAAATTATGATTAAACGTTTTTTTGAATTGAATCCCATTATCTATTATGGTATATATCATGGTAAATGATAGTGTGCTACATCTGTGAAACTCCAGTCCCAGGCTACACAACGACTATTGCAAAAATATCTTCTTACTAGAAAAAGAAAACCTTATTTGTTTAAGACAATATTTTTCTCTATGAATCTGACCCATATTCAGTGTCCAGCTGAAAAAATACTGTTAATGTATCCTTTCATCAAGTGAACATGGTTTGATCAGGGATGAGGAAGGGAGGTGTCAAGACACAAACACATTTGACAAGGTTTGGTCGATATTTAGTTTTAGTATTTGGCCCCAGCACAAGCACAAAGCAGCTTTATCACACACGCACATGGGAAGGTGGATGACCCCTGCAGCAGCCAATCAGCTCTCAGCCTTTTATTTATGCTATAGTTCAGAACATCTTTAGGTAAATAGAAAACTACTTTTACAATACACTATACCCATGACCCAAATTATTTGGGTCATGGGTATAGTGTATGGGGAACTTTATGGTATAAAGTTAGGTGCCAAAGCATAAAGTGAACAAGAGTAATCAGCAGATGTACTACTTAAGCTGCCAATACAGTATATGAAAGTGTCTGATGTTCAATGCATCAACACAATTCCGTTTATACTAATAAACTACCTGTGCATTCAAATAAAGTTAACATTTGTGAACCTACACTTCCACTAAATGATATTATAGTAAAAGAGTCTTACCCTCTGGGCGGGGCTTGGGCCTCTCCAGGCCTCCGTCCTGCATCAGCTCAAAGGAGAAGGACACATTGTGGACCTGAAAACAGCAGAGCGTCAGCTGCTCCTGTGTACTCACTCAATACTGGCCTACACAACACTCCCTGTTTATGAGATAAGTGATAAGAGCACGTGGAAACCAAATCCCAAATGCACTCAGGTGGATTTGCTGCTCTGTCTGTAAATACAGACTGTGGCCTTTAGCAGCTGTTCAAATACTTCTGTCCATTTATCATGAGACAGACCCACAAAATAAAAAAGAAACTAAGTGATAACTAATGTGTGCTTTACTGTGGCTGATATAAGACACTGTTCTGTTCTCTCAAAACATTCATCACACAGTCACTGATGTACTACAGACGGTGGCGTATGTAAAGCTCAGCACTTATAAAAATATGATACAATTTATCAATATTGATAAATCATTCAACTCAATCAATTTCAATGCACCTTATGTGTATCTCATAATTACTTAACTCAATACACTTTCTTTACATTTAAAATAACTGGATTTTGATGACGACACTTACATACTTGTGGATGAATGCTGCTATAGATTATGTAAAAGTATCTGAATGTTAAATTAATATTGATGAAACACGCAACATAGAAAAGAATAAACTCTCAAAAGATAAAAGATTTTTCCTGGAAACGGCAAAAAGGAAATCTGAGACTAGTGTTTATTGAAAACAGAGCAGCAGCAAAACCCTCTCAGACAATCACTTAAAAAAGGTAGAATTATATAGAAATTGTGCTAAAATAGTAGAATAGTAGAACTCCTGTTGTGGGCAACTATTCTGATTGGAAACAATAAAAGTGAAGAAACACATTTTGGATGTCTGTGTTTCCCTGCTGTGGAGAAACTGTGGTGATATGAAGTGTGACAAGTCCAACCGCAAAAAGGGAAAAGCGGCATCACTCTTTTTCTACAACAAATACAGCATGGATCAAGAAACCACCAGCCCAAAACAGGTAAATAAAACTACTGTTATAAACAATTAAATGCTTTGCTATACGTACGAAGAGAACCATGACCATAAATCATACGACCACAACACTAACAATCATTCTATTCTCCACCAAAAACTAAACCGGAAATCATATCATAGACCAGGGCTGTCAAAACATTCAGACCTATTGCACAAGTTTTAGTGGAAATGGGTGACGGAAATCTATGCAGACACGGGGAGAACATGCAAATTCCACACAGAAATGCCCCGACTAGAGGGGGAATCGCACCCAGGACCTTTTAGCTGCGAAGCACAAGCGCTAACCAATGCGCCTCTGTGCCACCCATTTGTGAAACTATACGACAGGTTCATCACACATATAAGAAACATCTGTTATAATGTTTATAAACTGTAAAAGCAAAAATATTCTCAGGAAATTAGAATATTCGGAAATGTACTGTAAAGGCATAATCATCAAAATTATAACAAACAAAGGGTTGGAATATGTCACTCTACATCTAATGAATGCAAATTACATATTGGTTTTACACTGTAAGTTGAATTACAGAAGTACATTTATATTTTAACTAATTCTAAGTTTCACCAGTACATTATGGCATGCTTGAAATGCATTTTGGTTCATTTAAGATAAGATAGACTTTATTGATCTCACAATGGAGAAATGTACATGTCGCATTTGGCATAGACAGAATCACTCAGGGTGTGCAAAAAGACAGGAAGTGCGCAACATGTTAAAAAAGGTTAAAATATAGTCTATTTTGTCTCTTATGTCCAACAAAATGAAAAGTGACAATAGCAGAATGTAGCAGAATATGTCTGTATGAACGCATCGACAATGGAATGCCTTCGAGAGCGTGGTGTAGATTTGATATGATCTGTCCACAGTAACCAGTGACGTCCAGCAAAGCAACAGCACTAATGGGGTCGTAATAGGTTTTACTTGAGTTTGGATGCGACCCAAGCTTCATACGGAGCTCTCTCGCAGTAATGGAGTGCAGCCTCTTCACACAGAACACATGCCCAGAGGCTGCCACCGCTCCTCAGGGCAACAGCGGGGACATTGTGGCCGTACTGTCCAGTCTGTTTAGCAGATTGGCAAAAGAAGAGTGGCCAAGACCCAAACAAAAGGTTACTGTGGCGTCCGAGTATAGTGCCTGAGAAGAATGATCTGGTGCAACAGGACACAGTAGGGTCTGCAGAAAATAAGACTGAAGAGCATTTGTGTCTGAAAAACTTTTCAATTACAGTACTTGGATGGACTATAAGCCACGCCTTTTTTCACGTCTGGACACTAGGGATTGTATAGAAAATAGTATGTATTTTTGTATGGTATAATATGTATAATTTTTTTTTGTATGGTATAGTATGTACTGTATAGTAGGTATTTTTGTATGGTAAAGTATGTATGGTATGTATTTTTGTATGGTATGGTATTTATAGTATGCATTTTGTATCATATAATATACAATGCCTTGCGAAAGTATTCGGCCCCCTTGAACCTTCCAACATTTCGCCACATTTCAGGCTTCAAACATAAAGATATTAAAATCATCTTTTTTGTCATGAATCAACAACAAGTGGGACACAATCGTGCAGTGGAAGAACATTTATTGGATAATTTAAACTTTTTTAACAAATAAAAAACTGAAAAGTGGGGCGTGCAATATTATTCGGCCCCTTTTCTTTCAGTGCAGCAAACTCACTCCAGAAGTTCAGTGAGGATCTTTGAATGATCCAATGTTGTCCTAAATGACTGACGATGATAAATAGAATGCACCTGTGTGTAATCAAGTCTCCGTATAAATGCACCTGCTCTTTGATAGTCTCAGGGTTCTGTTTAAAGTGCAGAGAGAACCATGAAGACAAAGGAACACACCAGGCAGGTCCGAGATACTGTTGTGGAGAAGTTTAAAGCCGGATTTGGATACAAAAAGATTTCCCAAGATTTAAAAATCTCAAGGAGCCCTGTGCAAGCAATTATATTGAAATGGAAGGAGTATCAGACCACTGCAAATCTACCAAGACCCGGCCGTCCCTCCAAACTTTCATCTCAAACAAGGAGAAGACTGATCAGAGATGCAGCCAAGAGGCCCATGATCACTCTGGATGAACTGCCGATAACTACAGCTGAGGTAGGAGAGTCTGTCCATAGAACAACAATCAGTCGTGCACTGCACAAATCTGGCCTTTAATGAAGAGTGGCAAGAAGAAAGCCATTTCTCAAAGTTATCCTTAAAAAAGTCTCGTTTAAAGTTTGCCACAAGCCACCTGGGAGACACACCAAACATGTGGAAGAAGGTGCTCTGGTCAGATGAAACCAAAATCGAACTTTTTGGCCACAATGAAAAACGATATGTTTGGCGTAAAAGCAACACAGCTCATCACCCTGAACACACCATCCCCACTGTCAAACATGGGGGTGGCAGCATCATGGTTTGGGCCTGCTTTTCTTCAGCAGGGACAGGGAAGATGGCTAAAATTGATGGGAAGATGGATGGAGCCAAATACAGGACCATTCTGGAAGAAAACCTGTTGGAGTCTGCAAAAGATCTGAGATTGGGACGAGATTTATCTTCCAACAGGACAATGATCCAAAACATAAAGCCAAATCTACAATGGAATGGTTCACAAATAGACGTATCCAGGTGTTAGAATGGCCAAGTCAAAGTCCAGACCTGAATCCAATCGAGAATCTGTGGAAAAAGCTGAAGACTGCGGATTCACAAACGCTCTCCATCCAACCTCAATGAGCTCAAGCTGTTTTGCAAGGAAGAATGGGCAAGAATTCCAGTATCTCGATGTGCAAAACTGATAATACCCCAAGCGACTTTCAGCTGTAATTGCAGCAAAAGGTGGCGCTACAAAGTATTGGCGCAAGGGGGCCGAATAATATTGCACGCCCTACTTTTCAATTTTTTATTTGTTAAAAAAGTTTAAATTATCCAATACATTTCGGTCCACTTCACGATTGTGTCCCACTTGTTGTTGATTCTTGACAAAAAAATTAATGTTTATATCTTTATGTTTGAAGCCTGAAATGTGGCGAAATGGTGAAAGGTTCAAGGGGGCCGAATACTTTCGCAAGGCACTGTATATAGTATGTATTTTTGTATGGTATGGTATTTATAGTGTGCATTTTGTATGGTGTAATATGTACAGTATGTATTTTTGTTTTATTACAGCACCCTTCCTGTTTTTATATATATACACATTTTATTATATTGACTCCATCAAGTGTTTTTAGTTTTTAATTACAGCTTAAAAACCTGCGGGTTATACGTGGAAAAAAAATTATGTTCAAATTTTGTTGGTGTGGTTTTTATACAGCAGCCCTTATTAATCCAGCAAGTACTGTACAATAGGAACCAAAAGCGGCGACAGTAGTTCAGTTGGTAGAGCATTGGCCTTTGAGCCTGAGGGTCGTGGGTTCGAGCCCGACTTTCACCATCGACTCCCACTGTCTGCTGTCTTTGTGTCCTTGGCAAGACACTTAACCTCTGGGAACACCAGCCACAGTGGGGCAGCTGCTGCTGTAAAGTGCCAAACTGCCGTTGTGTCCTTAGGCAAGACACTTCACCCCCATTACCTAGAATGAGTCTGTCGTGTGTGTGAATGGTTGGTGGTTGTCAGAGGGGCCGATGGCACATACTGGTTGCCTCGCTTCTGTCAATATGCCCCGGGGCAGCTGTGGCTCAAGTAATAGTTTAAAGCGTCTTAGAGTGTCCAAAAAAGTGCTATAAAAACCGATGCATTGTTATTATTAATAAGTTTGAATAATCATATAAAAATTTATGTCATTTTCGTTTTCCCACCCACTTGAAGTTTGTTCTTTTTCGTTCACCAAAACTATTTCTACGGGAAATTACCCCAAAATTATAAAGCGCTTAGTGTAACCTTGGTCTTGGTGTAAATAAAGCTTACTTATTCACTACTTAAATGCCACAATCTTGAGAGAGGTGAACGTAAAGTATTGGCTTCTCTAGAACATGTGACAAATAACACTTTCTGCTGCATTTTTTTTCATTGTGTAGCAACATTTACCTTTTGATCAAAATTCTCAGGTGTCAGAAAGAAGTTGTATAGTGGCACAAAGTATCCCTCGAGGAGCCCCATCAAGAGGACGAGGTAAACGCCATCTGCAAACTACACATTCAGACAATTATATGATTAATGAGAAATATATTGAATTGCTTTGATTTGAAGGCATTGTGTGGCTTCCAAAGTACCTGTGTATCCAGCTCCGACACCTCGAGGTTGAGCTTGTTCAGATGTTTGTTGACAAATGTAATGAGTGTCTGGAAGATAAGAGGTCCTCAGCGTTAATGCGTGAGAAAGAATACAATAGATTTAATAAGACATTCTTCTGATTATTATTGTGGTATGAACGACTTCAGTGTTGCTGTATAGTTTGCCCTTAGGAATGTTAAAAAGATCTACATGTTCACAGTTTTAGTCTATTTTTGTACCTTTTTGACAACGTTGAGCTTGTCAGGGGCATGGTCAAAAAGAGTGTCAAAGGCATCACGCTCTGTGGAGAAATGTGTCTCATGTCCATTATTCACACAAAATTACACAATGCAACAAAGAACTCTTAGTAAAAGCACTTACCGTGTCGGCCAGAAAAAGCCCTGGGAAAGAGGGGAATAAAATATCAAAACGTTATATTTAACAATTGTTAAGGTTTTGATATAGCATTAACATGTATTGTTGTGCTTTGCCATATCAGCCAAATTGTAAAAAGTGCCAGCATTTAGATGTACAACATTTTATAATTTTATGACATTTGCAAATAAATATATTTGGTTCCATTTCACATTGCATTCCCGAATGCATCTCACACCATTGGGTTTGAAATCCACAACAATTCAATAACAAAGGAATGCATCCGGATTATGCAGCACATTCACAATAGTTGTCGAGAGGATATCATAATTTGATTAACAATAAAGGAGCAAGGGAAAGGTGTGGAAATGACATTCTCCAAAACACTGCTGGGGACGGACACAATGAAGACGCTTCAATGGTGCTGCGCTGCTATTCTATGGAAAGGGTCCATTATCATTATATGACAGTGTTAGCACTGGACAGCAGCGTTTCTGGGAAAGAAGCAGGTGGTGGAGGGGTGAGGAGGCCTCCCCTGAGGAGGACATATCACAGTGGGCCGGGTGGCGGCGAATGGCAGCGAGGACAGCTTTGCCCCCCCACAAACACGCACAGTAACACACGGTCATGGTGTAATCTGGGATGGCAAATGCAGGCAGGTCCGGGCAGCGGGCCTCGTGCTCTGGTAATAACCGGATTTCCACTGTGACTGAGGCTTGCGTGTGTGTGTCAACAGTGTATCCATGGTAAAAGGTGTGTGCGCTGTTGGCCCCTGGTTATCTCCCACTGCTGCTGCCTCAGGATGTGCGTGCGTGTGTGTGTGCGTGCGTGTCATCACACCATTCAATACAATGGCTCTCTAGTCCTAAATTGGCTACATTATGACAATAACAACACAATTCCTGCATTTAAACACAGCAAATATGTTTGCTTTCTGAACAATTAATCTATACTATATTTGAAAGATCAATCAATTATGCAAACCAAATGAGCCAATTATTGACTCAACATTTATATACTTCTTTGCCAAAGAATTTCACATATAACATTATGTATATTCAACACATTCTTGTAAACATGTTGACTGTGTAGACTTCTCTAAAAAGCTAAAGTATGCTCTTGTCTTTCATTTCCTTGCATACAGACCCTTCCCTAAGGTCACTCTGGGCTGATTAGTCAAATGGAGCACTTTGCTGTGATTGTGTTGCCTTGGCAAAGCATGTGCTCCAGACCTAATGTCCAGATTACTGTAGTGAGTTGATTTAGTTAGTATTCAAGTCAACAACAAAATTATACAAAAAAATGGGGTACAAATATTGCTCTACATGATAAAATAAGAGACTGAGATATGAAATAGATTACAGTAATTAGCTAGACGCCCTAAACAAAAAAATCAAAAAGAGTTTTTTTAGGTTTTTATTTTTACTATTTGCAGCCATCGCTTCACACACTCTTTTCATGACTTTTGAAAGCTTAGAGCGATCTTTGCGATTCACTTCTTAATAAAGCTCTATATCTTTTACAATATATCTGCAGTGGAGCAAACAAAGTAGATGGAAATATCTATTAAAGAAAATGATAAAACCTATAAAGAGAATTCTCTGCCAGATAATGCAGAGAGTTTAATGACGATTACCACAACATGCAGTCTTCATCTTATTAGAAAACACTAATATATACAAAAAACCTCTGAGTCACTAGTTGTCATTTTGGGCTGAGACAAAAGTGACCCTCTCCTTTTTGATTTTGTTTCTGTCTAAAAAAGCTGATCTAATGAAAACTAGTGGCAGTACCTGTTTGAGTAAGAAGCGAGTTGGACTTTATGTCAAACTTCCATTTCATGTTAAAAGTAACTCTTCAAATATTCCAACTTTTGTTACATTTGATTCAAAGCTAGCTGCTACACTCCCAGTATATGGAGACTTGTGTGTGTCATTAGTTTATTGCTGAAGGTTGTCTGTTGACCCAAGGCCCTGCACTGAACACGACCTGAACATATCATCTCTTTCACTGCACTTTCCTTTGCGTCTCCCAGAGAAAAGCAGACTCTGTGAATAATATTATTGGTGTTCTCCATTACCCAAGCAATAAGTGCAGTGTGCTAAATATTAAAAGGCATCATTGGGTCACGTATTCAGTCATCAAAGCCCGGATCCGCTTTTGTTTTTCGTATGGTCCACTTCTCGGCAAACTTGAGTGGAGCCCTTTTATCTGCTCGCCTCCAATGGACGACAGCAGACAATACATTCTTGAATATACTTGATTAGGATTTAAATATTTTACCGCAGCACAGATACGGCATCTTCGGTAGCCCTGGTGATCTGTGCCATTTGTACGAAATGTCAAAAGAAACGTCTCAAAAGCTTCAATTCGGTCAGACTCAAAGAAAAATCTACCCAATTAGTCCATGTCTGAATGTGGGTGAGTCGTGTCCAAGGATAGGCATTCAAATGGATTGTAAAGACAGCCTTATGAGAGATGTTTATCACACCGTGTCAGTTTTAGCCACGGAAATAGGTAGAGACATTATATTTGATGCTTTCAAGTGGATCTCGGATGATGCTGGTTTTCGGGCAGAGGCCTCCGGTGTGTGCAGGACTATTCTCAAACTGATACAATGGCAGGCTTGGACAGACAATGGTGGTAGACCAGGTAATCAACAGATGCCTTGACATAAAAAAGGCGCTTATGTGCTTTATTTGCAATTCTGCCTGTGTCCTTGTGCGTTTTTTGTTTGTTTTTTTGCCGGTGGGGTAAAGCAATGCTCATTCATCAATCTTCAGTATGGCAAAGGCGGCGCGTTTATCTAATGCACGACCAAAACAATTTGTCGCAATGTACAGACATTTCCCCACTGTGAGACAAATAAAAAGGTTCTCTTATCTTAATGTGATATTCAAACAACATTAAAAGTACATGTAAAGCTAAACTGTAAAAGGCACTGACGTTTATCAAATCAAAAGCGCAGAAATATTAGGATTTACACACTGACCAAAAAACTCTGGGAATTTTGGTCAACACCCAGAGTTCCTGTTCTTTTATGACTGAGCGACAAAACTCAGAACTCCTTGGTCCTTACAGTTTTTACCGGGGCATGCACAGTGTAATCACTAAGATGAACCGAAGCAGGAATTTAGCAGGAAAAAACCGCAAAGCTGTTTTATAGACAAAAAACTTGCCATAGATAGTCCATGAAAATGCGATTCCCTCTGAGCATGGGTGTTCGTGCCGTGACTTTAGAAGTTTGTTTTGACTCTATATAGTGACACGCTCCCATACTCCCAACACAGGTCAACAATATGAAAATGATAATAATAATCGTTTTTTTATAGCTTATATAGATATACTCATTCTTTCACTCCATACACGGTGGTGATAAACTACTGATGTAGCCAGAGCTGAAAGAAGAGGGGCAACCAGGATGTGCCATCAGCCCCTTCAACCACCACGACCATCTCACGCACACGCACGACTTATTCTAGGCACAACAACAGTTTTGCACTTTACAGACACAGCTGCCCCATTGTGGACTCTGGTGTGCCCAGAGGTCTCCCATCACAGTACTAACCAGGCCCTGCCCTGGACAACTTTAGAAGTTTGACAGGATCTGGCTTTTGCATGCAAGTACTGTATGTACATTGTTTCCACAAAATTCTAAATTTCTTCAGTTATTCTGTTCCAGTGTTTAAATCAATGTATTAAAGCTACACATTGATTTTATAGTAGCTCTAAATTTCGGGCAACAAATCCAAATGTTTCCTGTTATTTTATAATAACCGTGAGGGAGGTAACGATTCCCAGCATATCCAACCGTTTGACGCAGTCTATTTTGATTCGATACACAAATATGTGCCACGCCGGTTTCCCTGTTAACGCTCACCCCCAGCCGCCTTTGAAGAGCAGCCCGCCATCGTGTGAGCTGCCTGGAGGGCGGGGGGAGTTGCGTTTTCAGCATTAGTGAGCCTCTAACAAACACATACAACAATAAGGCCGCAACAGCGACACTGGCCCCTGTTCAGAGCTTTTCCAATCGGGGAAAAGTCACAGCGAGGGACAGAACAGCTGATCGAGTTAACACAGCTGTAGAATGAGGGTACGTCGGCATAGCAGCAGCTGTTTGCAGAAAGTTTGCAGAAAGTAAAGCTGCTCTCTACTTTGAGGCAACCACTGATGGATAAACGTGGGACGGATGTTTTGAATCGGACGAACTGGATTTTCTGCGAAATGCGTTTGGAGGTTAGTGAGGATGTGTAAACAAGTGCTGAGTCTCCTGTTTTTGAATCTCACGTCTTTGTCCTGCTGCTGTTGATGCTGGGCTTTTAAACCGTTTTAAAAGCTCTAAAATTATACGGCATTGACCACATAATAGCGGCTCACACACAAGTATCCAAACTGTCTGAGTGTGGGAATAAAGGATTTTGTAGTGTGTGTGTGGACAGTGGGAAGGCCTAAATAATAGTTCACAATTTATTGAAATCACTTAAATTCAGATTTTTGTTATATTTTGCTTGTTGGCCAGATAATCACAATATTGAATCGTTTTCAGCATTCGTCTCGTAGAATAGATTTCAAGTTTCGGTTCAGTGTCATGAAAAAGTTAATTACTCCCCCTCCTGTTATTTTTTGCATTTTTAGGTGGTGGTTTTAGACACTATATTTTTCATGTGATTTTGAAAAAGATCAGATAAAATTTGATGTTGAATTTATGCAGAAATGTGAAATTCCAAAATCTTCAGACTTTTTCAGGCCACTGTAGATTAGGTGACAGAGATTTTACAGATGCCCTAAACCTTATTTGAGTAGTTAAAAAAAAAAAAAAAAAAGTCCAGCCATTTGGATTCTATGAACAGTGGGTTTATAGGTTCCCTTATATGACAGTTTATAGTAACTTACTCTGTATTCCCAGTGATCTCCTCCTGGATCTGTCTGGACTGGAGGATGCCCTCTCGTTTCTGGAACAAACACAGTACATTACATCCAGTTTTAAAAGCACAGACGTACGCAGCACCTGGAGGAGCTCACCTGCACCACCACCACCTGAATGGACACGTGGTCGGGTAGCCTGATGGGCGCCCGGAAGTGCTGCGACACAGCCACAAGCAGGTGCAGAATAGCTACAATGCTTTTTGCATGGACAGCTAAGGGGAAAGTAAACAAAAAAAATATTGTGAAAAGTAAAATCATTTGAATCAAAAATGTAAGATATATGTTAATTGAGAAGAGTTTGACTTCAGTGACAAAGCAAAATGTCACTGAAACCATGAATATGTCCACTACTCAGTTCTTTACAATGCAGAGAACAGAGACGCATCAAAGCATGTGACATTAAGGAGTGTTAGGAAATGTCAGTGGCTTTGAGCGCATCCTTCACTCATCTGAACCACGCAAGCGAATGGATAGGATTTACCTTTGGATAAACAATACAATCAGGATCAATTAAGTGTCTACTGCAGGCCTTTGATTGTCTCCCGTGGCAATGGCGAATCACCAAGAGCCAGCTAAAAGCCTTCATAAAACCTATTAGCTCGCCGCATAAGAGGATACAAATAAGTTGCATCAGAACAAGTGTTTTTGTCAGCCCCAGTGAATGGGGGGGATGAAAGCCGAGCGAGACAAAGGAGAATTGATTAAAAGCAAACTCTTCAAATAAAAAGCCAAGCAAAAAAAATCATTTGAAATGACATTAGATGTTATTCACAATGCTCTTTACCATTTCTGAAGACGAGCTCCTGGAAAGAGGATCTCAAGGATGAACATATACCAAAGGTGCATTACAGAATTTGTATCATTTTCATCCAACCTCAGATGTGGCCTCAGACGTGTGCAGTATTCATGTGCACCTTATGTGTTAGCCGTTATGTTCGTAAATGTGAGATAAGAGCACGGCTACATTCCCTGTCGCCTGATGACAATCTGAAAGCTCACGGCTCAATAAGAAGCACGCTCATCTAATGCAAGACAAAGTACGATCAGGCAGAAATCTGTTAAGTGGACATGGGAGAGAGACGGAGAGAGAGAAAGAGAGAGAGAAAGAGAGAGAGAGAGAGAGCTGGCACATGCCTAACACTCACACAGAGTACGTTTACCAAGCACTAGTAAAAACAGAATCACTCGCCCGCTTCCATTTAATTAGACACATGTAAACCCCTGTTCTGCGATTGAGGCGTGAAAATCTACTCCATTTGACGCAACTGAATCAAACCGTTTCTGCTGCTCTTTTACCCTCATGTAATCAAGTAACCCTGATCCAATTGAGACAAGGCCATCAGACACACTTAAGAGCGCAGGGAAGATCCAGGTTTAAAATACATTGGCTTTGTATAGCGGGTTTTTTTCTTGACACTCACACAGCTAGCCACAGCTGACAAAAAACATATTCCATGATTACATTTGACAAAAGTGTTCTTATACTGAGGAGACAGAGTTACGAGATGCCTTTGAAAGTGTGATAAGGCTGCATCTGATCGCCCGCCTGAATTCTGACCATACTGACTGAAGAAGTAAGTATGTAAGTAACCTTCATTTATGTAGCGCCTTTCACAGACTACAGTCACAAAGCGCTTTACAATTGTGGGCATTTGTCCTCTCACTCCACACAGAGATGGGAGCATATTCGTCAGTACAGGAGGCACATATTTTAAGTGGTAGGGGAAGCCAAACATACAAACTCCACTCAGAGAGGCCCTGTTCCAACCGGGATTGGAACCCAGGACCTTCTTGCCTTCATGCTAACCACTCGGCTACTGTTCCGCCCAAGAACCACACATAAAAAAAGAAATCACCATTCAGCAAGTGCTATAGTCAGGGCTTATCACAAATAGTGGACTTAGTAGAAGCGTTAGTAAAGCAGTGAAAATCATTTCCAAGGTCAACATCCAACGTTTGCCAACTATTGTGTATCGGTGGTTTGAAACTCTGACAATGGAAACAGAAGATGTGTAACTTTGGAATGTACTTTCAACTATAAAATTAATAATATCACAAATATTTCAAATTGACACTAGCACAGTCACTGGGAAGGGACATACTTATTAAAACGTCTTAAGTAACTTTGTTTGACTACAGCTTTACCAACTAATCCAGAATTATTTGTAAAACATTTAGGTCCTTCGCCTTTCGCCGTAAACTGTGAACCAGACGACAGAATCTATTGGATGCATCTATTGTGAAGCAGAGATGTATTTATGAAGAATCTAAAAGAAAGACAAACACCATTTCAACATGTAATGGAGCCCAATTAATATTTCCTTTGGCCTGGAGGTTTACACGCCTTTTGGTTAAGTTATCTGAGAAATGTTGTGATAATAATAGTTTAAGAATTTGTGATAAACAGCAATGATTTTGACTTTGAACCCTTGGCACATTACACCACAGTTTTACCTTCATTGAGTTCAACTAAAGGTAAATGGTGTAATTGTTTTGGAATTGCTCTCACAGTCGACGGTCCAGCGGATGTTTCTGGTGGAGAGTTTGAGAGAGTCGTTGATTCGTTCCAGCACGGTCTGCAGCTTCTGTTTCTGAGCGATCTCTGACTGAGTCACCTCTGCCACGTTTAGCTTTTCTCCCTCCAGTTTTTCTACAGCAAAAGAAATAATGGAAAGTAAGATTAAAGTCATTAAAGTCGGACATAACAAGATAAGACTTTCCCACAGCTTTGACCACGTTGTAATTGTTTTCCCTTGTTATTTACCCACAGTGGAGGCATGTTTGACTGATGTACATTGAGGTGTGAAACTACTAGAAAGTCTAGGCTGATCATCAGGCAGCGGATCATCAGGTGTTGTTTTATACTGTTTTTATTTTTATTTTTTAATTGCCAGTTGTCTGTGTTTTTTACAGTGAGTTTTTAATTGGTTTTACATGTTGTCATTACATGGGTAATGACCGAAAGAACAAGCAGTCAAAATGAGCTTCCTCCGCAGAGTGGCTGGGCGCTTCATTAGAGAAAGGATGAGGAGCTCAGTCACACTGGAGGAGCTCGGAGTAGAGCCGCTGCTTCTCCACGTTGAGAGGAACCAGTTGAGGTGGCTCGGGCATCTGTTCTGGATGCCTCCTGGATATCTCCCTGGGGAGGTTTTTCCGGGCTCCTCCCACCAGGAGGAAATACCCAGGACACTATGTCTCTCAGCTGGCCTGGGGACGCCTTGGGGTCTTCCCAGATGAGCTGGAGGAAGTGTGTGTAGATAGGGAAGTCTGGGCGTCCCTGCTAAGACTACTGCCCCGGCGACATGGCAACGGATAGAGTGGAAGAAAATGGATGGATGGATGGATGGACATTGTAGTCAATGTGAAGCACTTTGAGTTGCATTCTGTATGAAATGTACTACAGAAATACATGTTGATTGATTGAGCAACATTTATTTCTATACCCCCCACATACTTTCCCAGACTTAGTTCCTCCAGTTTGTCCAAGACAGACAGTCCCGAGCCACCTCAATGGACTCCTCTCGATGTTGAGAAGCAGCAGCTCACCTTGGAGATGGATAGGATGAGCTCCTCACCCTGTCTCCAAGGTGAGCTGCCCCTCTGCGGAAATAAACAAATGTTGTATCCCCTTATATCTGCAGTCTTAACAATTGATCATCACTAAAATGCAGACACCATTTTACCAATGGATTTTAGTAGTGTAAACAATGGCCTTCAAATGATGTTTTCTCTGTCATTCTGTCTGTAATAACTGTCAAGCTGAGAATAAAAGTCCTTGATTACTGTGGAGCGAAAAGATCTTGCCTATTGTCCCTCAGTTCCAACAGTAGAAATAGTAGTAATACATAATTTCTCACCAAAGAGCTTCTGCAACACCTGTCCATCGTACAAGTCTTCAGCTAGGTCTTTGACAATGATCCTCTCTCCGACCAGAACGTCATTGATCCAGTCGATCAGCACCTGCACCAGAAGAGACCTGGCTGTAGTGCACACGAGTATGTACAGTTACAGTTTTACAGTTGCTCTGCTGCTGTCGAGACTTGCCTTCATGAGCTCTTGCAGTTTGCGGTCGTTCTTTGAGTTGGGGTCAACCATTGTGCGAACCTCATTTTCCTCTGAAAAATGAGCAACGGGCAAAAAGATTGAACTTTTTCTTAAGCAAAATATGTTAGCAGTTTACACCACAAAAATCTATATGTTATGTTATAAAAGGATTTATAACAAAACATAGAATTACATATGGGCTCACATCCTCCACATCTTTGGGATTCATTAGAAGTGTGCCAAAATGTCTAAATATTATTTGACACATATTCACTGTTGTGATTGGAGATGCCACATTAGATAAGTGCACGCTATCTTTTAACAAAAGCTGTTGTTAAAATTTAATTAGATGTCTGAATAATGTCTTATTTTTTTATTTTTTGTATATTCAGAGATGTAGGACATCTAACAATAACATAAATTACATTAATAATGAACATTTGTTTTTAGGTCTTTTACTCGTAATTTTTTGCATTATAGGCCAAATGGTTGAGATGCAGTTTGAATGTAAAAATGCCTAAAAGCGAGTGCGATGCCCCAAAGAGGTAGATTTCAGTTCCATATATTGACTCAAAAAGTGATCTACAAAATGGTTGAGGAAGCAATTAAAGGGTTAAAAAAAGACAAAGTAACGAATTGCTTAGACATTGAATTCAAAACATGCACATTTCTCCCATTTCTGAATACGTGTTTTTTTTTTGGCTTATTGTCCATATATCTGCTGGTGTTAGATGAAGGGGGCCGTGATGCTTCAACAGTGTATCTGCATGGTGGCACACGGATCACCAGCAGAAAAGCCTATGAGCGCTCCACAAAAGGATTTGGCAGCTCGAGCAGCGATGTTGACTTTGGGCTAAAATGTACTTGTCCGATAATAAAGCCAGCTCATGTACCGTCACTGCAAACTGAAAGATGCCAAAGAGCTTCTTCTGCCCATCACCGGAGGACACTGAGCTGCAGTGTTTAATCACTCGCTCTCATTGCATCGATGTTGTGCTGAGCTTTCCGACAAAGCTGTAAACACGTCGAGCCGTGCCACTGAGAAAAACGTTTCATTATTTATTATTATTATTATCCTTATGCTGCTGACGAGTACAGTAGTTTCACCATCACTGTGAATATTTGAACCAACATAACTAATAAATTACTATTACTATTTCAAATGTTTTGTCTTTTTTGATAGAGATTTGATTATATTTTTATGTATCGATTTGTGGTATAATTAATAATCACTTAGCTTGTGCTGTGTGCTCTTCATTACTTTCTACTCTTCTGTAACTTGTGATGCAACACTGAAATTTCCCTAGCCTGGTCGTACCACCACCGAGCTCCGTTTACAGATAGGAGAGGTTAACTCCTTTTGCAGATTAAAACGATTGGATCTGAGTTTACCGTGACGTGTGTAGTGCGCCCGAGTCTGTTGTTAGCATTTAGCATTTAGCCATCTCCTTTGCCGCTAACAGAGTCTGTGAGGAGTAGAGCCACAATTTCTTCTAGCGATTACATTTGCTAAACATTCCTATTGCTCCGGCTTCAATTTCTTGATAGAACCAGACCGGATTAATTAACTATCGCCAAACTACAACCTTCCCGTTCGACGCAGACTCTTGTTGTCACCCACAAATAAATACAACACTCTCCTTCCGCACTCGCTGATTGGTCGGTCGAAATTCAAGCGATTGTAATCGCTGACATGGGGACCAGACCCAGACGTTACATGCAGTGAAATGATGATTGAGTGGAGTGTACGGATGGCTAAGGCCAGGCTAAAATTTCCCCACTGTGGGACAAATATTTATTTTCCAAATGATATGTGGAATGTTAAATGAAAATGGCTCTTAATAAAAAAACAAATATAATGCAATATTTGGGTTCCTTTTGGCCCTTAAACCTGATCGTGACAATATTGTCTCAGCACGTTATAGAATGGGATACAAAAAATGATAAAAACAATGCAAATCCAGTCAGAGAATGCACCAACACTCCTATTGTTAGCGTGAAATGAGTTAAATTTAGATCTAAAACAAACATGGTGCGGTGTAATTGAAGGTGATTTGATTGGGTAAGGGTCATAAAACAAATTTAGGCTATTTAATCAATTACAACTCATGGCTCAAAAGAAATTAATAAAAAAGGAAATAGAAATTGGAAGAAATATAGTTTGAAATGTTAGTTTTGACTGAAAAAATTTCACTAGAACAAGAATGCAGAGTATTAAGGATTAGTGTTTACCGAGCATGGTGTCCTCGGGGTCCAGCTCATAGTGGGAGGGGCTCAGAGGAAGATTGATGGCGTTTATTCCTTCCTCCTGGAGATCTGAAACTATAAGACAAAGACACACATAAACAAAAACACATTATTATTTTTTATTTTATATAAGCGCAAGGTTGATAAAGAAATTACATTTGGTCAACATAAAGTTATAGAAAAAAATTCACTTGGCCACAACTTGAATAGAACCACGCCTACATAAAAGTATTTGGGTATTTAGTCCTAGTATTTATGGAACATTACTTAGGCAAGAATATATTTGAAAAGTAGTAACGGAGAGACACAGAGGCCCAATATTAAACTCATAATCCAGGTGCTACCGTTTAAATAGTCAAAGTTCATCCATAATAGATTTCTTGAAACTAACAAACTGTAAAAATGCGGGTTTTATTCATTGTCATGGATTGAAATCGTCAAAATCCTGGAGACGGCAATGCAAATGAGGCAATGAACTCGGCTCAACAAGTCAGCACCGGATCCGCATGTGTCACGCACTTCTAGAGCACACAACACAATTAAAAGTTGACAAACAAAGTTATTTACCGCGGGAAGCGCAGTGCGGCTCATATTTTAATTGGTTAAAAGGTGCAGGCGGGGCAGGGGGCGCGCGCACACAGCACCTCGGTGTAGAGCTCCAGCGTGGCCTGGATGCCTCCTTAAATGTCCCCTTGATTCCACAAACAGCCATTAGCAGCATCACTGTGGAGCGCCACTTGACGTCAGACACAAACAGTGTGCTGCTGTTTCCTGCCTCACAGCGGGCAAAACACAGTCCCAGCATGCCGCTCTGCTCAGTGTGTCAGATACCTCCGAAGGCTTGATCTAAAGATGAATGTGTGTGTGTTTGTGCGTGCGTGTGTGCCTCAGACTGAACATCCTGTGCATGTCTCTGTCTGCATCAGAACAACATCCTCCTCACCCACACGGGGGGCTGCCTCTGTGACCCTCACTCCAGCACGCAGAGCTTTTGAGCATCAGTCTTGCATCTGTGTATTGTCCTGTTCAATTTCATCTTTGTATAGCCCTACATCACAAAAGCAGTCGTCTCGGGAGGACTTTACAAAGTTGTTAATTCGCCAATTGGTCTGTATGGGAGTGGGATGACGAATGTCCATAACGATCCAGTTTCTTTTAGAGTTGATTTTAAAATTCTTCTTTTTGTTTTTAAAGCCCTCAATGGTCCTGCCCCTTCATACCTGTCTGAACTTTTGACTATTCGTGACTCGGGCAGGTCCTTGAGGTCGTCAAATCAGCTCTTGCTGGAAGTGCCTAGGACCAGGTCCAAGCGTTGGGGTGATCGGTCCTTTTCAGTCGCTGGACCCAGACTCTGGAATAAGCTGCCCCCTGAAATGCGCACCATCACTGATCTTGGCCTTTTTAAATCCAGGCTCAAGACACATTTATTCAGACTGGCTTTTAACATTCAGTAGCACGGCAACACTTTTTTATCTTACTGTTTTATTTTTATTTTTGTTTGAATTAATGTTTTTAATGCATTTTATGTGATTTTATTGTAAAGCACTTTGGTCACCTTGAGTGTTGTAAAGGGCTCTATAAATAAAATTTGATTGATTGATTGATTGATAAATGTTAATAGATGTGCACATGTCCCGAAATGTTATGGATCATCACTGTCCTTAGACCCCTCTGCCTCAGGAGTGACTAAAAAGAAAAAAACAGAAAGAGATGGATCTGCTCTCAGGGACAGACAGGCCATAGATCCAGGACTGAGGCTGTAGAACCAGTATACTGAAGAGTCTATAGATCCAGGACTGAAGACGAAGTAGATCCAGGAATGAAGACGCAGTAGATCCAGGACTAAAGAGGCTATAGATCCAGTACTGAGGCTATAGATCCAGTACTGAGGCTATAGATCCAGTACTGAGGCTATAGATCCAGTACTGAGGCTATAGATCCAGTACTGAGGCTATAGATCCAGTACTGAGGCTATAGATCCAGGACTGAGGCTATAGATCCAGGACTGAAGAGGCTATAGATCCAGGACTGAAGAGGCTATAGATCCAGGACTGAAGAGGCTATAGATCCAGGACTGAAGAGGCTATAGATCCAGGACTGAAGAGGCTATAGATCCAGGACTGAAGAGGCTATAGATCCAGGACTGAAGAGGCTATAGATCCAGGACTGAAGAGGCTATAGATCCAGGACTGAAGAGGCTATAGATCCAGGACTGAAGAGGCTCTCAGGTGGAGAGGGGGTTGCCGCCCATGAGTCCGGGCCGGGGGACTAAATTATATTTGCAATTGTTTAGGTTGGACATTTAAAAATAACATTTCCTTCAGAGATCATGTACTGCAGAGCTGATAACATTACATGTTTATAGTATAGATGTAATAATGAACATTATTTTGATAATGGATAAGTTGGCCGATTTGTTTTTTATATATTGAAAAGGTCAGCGATTATGACTTTTAAACATTTGACCAAAACAAAGCTCCAGAGATGCCCCTGGAGAACGTCTTCATAGAGATGACTTGTTGCACATTGGATTAAAAAACTTTAATTTCATTCTGTAGTCACTGTAGGATTATAAATGATCTTTTCTGCATGCTTAAGTTCATGGAGCATTCAAAAAACAATTGGTTGACAACTATTTCAAAAAATGTGTTGTTACAGCTCAAGTTTATTTGCAGAAAACATACATTTCTTACCAAACTAAACCAAAAGATATAGTTGGACAATACATAGGAAATGGCAAAATGATGAAAAATAATAAAGCAGTCTCTACATCAAGTGATCAGAGTGCTGCCTTTGCGATCTGGCCCCGGAATATTAAACATGAAAGTATAAGTATTGCACTTAATGTTCCGATTTGTGTGGGGGTTTCATGTTTTTTTTTTTTCATTTACAGTTAGAACTCAAACTCTTTAGAAGCATATTGTTACAAAAACATAGACATATTTATTTTTGTTACATAAACCTAAAGATCTATCGTGATCAGAGCTGAATTCCTGGGAAGGAGCGTGTGTTAAGAGCAGATGTGCGAGCCTATAATAGTTACTGTCAGCAGCGAGTAATTCCCAGATTGGTGAAGGGTTGTATAGCAGCTATACATTAACACCAGCCCAATTAGCACAAGCTTTAACTCCAAGCATCACTTGAGCTATTTTAAGATGACAAAGTGTGTGCATGCAGGAAGAAAGGGGGGTTTGCAGCAATAAGCATCTGCAACAAAAGCACACAAAAATATCTTTCTGTCCGAACGCTACACTAAAGAAGCATAGTCCGTTCGCTGATATGGCAACATTCACTTTCCATGGACACTGGCTGTGATTGGCGTGTGCATATTTCTCCTCCCCCTGCTCCCCCTATCTATACACTTACTCCCATGAATCCTGCTTGTTTAAATAAAAGCAATAAAACGGTCACATAGTGGGACAAGACGGCGTCCTACCTAGAGCACAGAGAGCTCCACATCCCATGATTGTCCGTGTCCGCTGCCCAGTCTTAGGCATCGTCTCCTGGATAACAGCGCAGTGTCTTGGAGCTCATATTGCACAGACAAGGCTCGTGTCCATCCTACAGCCAGCAACAGTGTCCTTTCTCGGGACGATTTCCGAATGCAAAAAAAACTGAGAATGTCGTCCGAAGGGAGCGCTTGGTAAAATTGGTAGCGTTTCTTTTTTTTACCTATTCCCTTTCTTGTGTCTTAAGTCGGACGTCTGGCTGCGGAGTGCGGTGCCATAAATATCACAGAATTTAATTTAATCACAGCTCGCACAAGAGCGGGACCAGCCCACCCTTTCCATCAAATCATAAAGCTCGCTGCATATGTGTGTGTGTGTCCGGCCTGTAGTGAACCACTGCAGGAGTAGGGGACAAAGGCAGCCTCAAATGGGGCTCAGCTGGTCAACAACATCCTGAATGACACCAAGTAATCATCCAATTGAACAAGACCTTTCCCATCTCATCATAAAACCTGGCCTTTAACGCTGAATGTCAGACCCACTGAAGCCCACAATGAGGCCATGGGCAACTGTAAACCTGCCTCCACAAAGGGAAAAGGTGCTGGTGGACTCCTATTTATTTACAGCATATCTTAATATCTTAGGTTGTTGATGCCTGCGATGGTAAAATGCACTAAGGGGGAAAGCAGAGCCGACCGTTGCAGATTCACAACCCCATTCACACTTTCCCAAATACTTCTTGCACTTAAAAAACACAGCTCACACAGGACAGACTGAGAGCATGGCTGGCTCCGAATAATGCTTGTGCCTCAACAATGGTATGCATATATATCTCTGAAATATGCTAAAATATATGTTGCAAATGAGCTAAATGAGGATTTAAGTATTATAGCAAACTAACTGTGAAATGTACCACACAATAGCAGAGATATCCCTTTTTCATGCTAAAGTCAGAGATTGAATACTCAAATCTTGCTTATAGAGATGTATATAATTTAGACTTGCTTCTTTAATACCCTAAAGTTAGGGATTTTATTCCATTCTAGTATATAGTTATTGTTCATTTATCTTGTGCTCCTCATTCCAACACTGACATGTCCCCACTACGGGACGAATCTCTTCAAATGCCAAAGATAAACATTGTATGGTAGATTCAATCATATTCTAATAGGTTTACAGTTGTTACAAAAATGGCATAATATTTTGAACTGTAATGACCCATTGGACGCATTCCAGATGAGAACCGGTACCGTAATTGCCAGACTAGAAGCTACAACTTTTTCATATAAAGCGATACAGCAAATGTATTTATGGACTTGTTATTTTAACTTGAGTTTTAGCAGCAATCGGACTTTTATCCTCAATAGATAATGGTGAATGCGTAATTGAAGCTAACCAGAAAACATGCTAATGTGAGTTGATGTTTGCCTCCTCAGAATTCATTGTGCTATTTACCTTTAGCTTTGTCCAACACAAGTCAACAGTGCATTTAAACACCAAATAACCAGTTAAAACGGTTGTCTAAACGGTTGTTCATTACAACATGAAATCCTGCGTGGACAAAATTACCCTAATTTTCAAAGAAAGATTTACGATTGTGATCTTTCTGAAGTTTACTCTGGTTATTTACATCTGAGTTTTATGTTACTCTTTTATGTCGGATTTTTGTTGCTCTTGTTAATTATGTTTGAATAACAAAAGTGAGAAGTCGCCTATTCAGAAAATATGTCTGTGTCCTGAATGTTCAAGGATAAAGTTTTTGCACTACCCTCCTAGTTTTTTTCACTTCAGTTAATGTTCAGACCATACAACTTGTGACATTCGAGTTGAGCAGTCTTATTTTCCTCATTTATGTAATTCCTTTGAATAATGAGGGACATAAATCGCAATAATATTGAAACGTGGCCCAAATATCGCAACACTTTCCAATCAACACATTTTTGACAATTCCCACCCCTATAAAACACGTACCCGGCTTTAAAGTACTTCTTGGAGACACAGCTCACAGTTCAACAGCAGATATGAAGATAGATCACAGCAAAATCAGCAAAAAATAGCCCAACACAGCAAAGGCACACCACAGTGGCATAAAACCAACAAATACATCCATAGGCGCACAGGAGTATTTGAAATTGGAATCATTTGGTGGAAGAAAAGCTGTACTCTTATATGTTTATATTCCTCTTTTAGTCAAAGTATGTTCAAGGCCCTATATTAGATTGTACATTGAGTGAAGCATTGAGCACTGAGCAATGTCCTCTCCAGGTACATTGGTTCATTTATATCTTTTGTAAAGCTTTTTATCTGCGTCCATGGGCAAGATACATACGATATTTAAGTAGACCACCTTAGACCTTTTGATATAAAAGGAGACATGCTTCACTGCTTTAAGCCTGCGTCAGTATGGACACGGACAGAGGCGTGCGTAAAGTAGTGGTAATTGAGGATTCATTACCATACAAGGAGATGGAGGATAACAGATGATCGGATTCTTGAATTCAACACTGGTTTATTAAGAACACGTCATAATATAATGTTTATGATATGTTGATTTTTAGAACCGTACTTTGACGCAATCGTAAGTTTTAATACAATTTTGTTTTCTGCAAGATGGAGGCTTATACATATACCCACAGCGCACAGATTGTCCTTACTGAACAGATAGATGTAAGATTTTTCATTTTGTTTACCTTCTTTAGCCTTTTTCCTCCTGGCTAAAGTTCCTCCAAGTTTTCCCAAGAAGGAGTCATCTTTCTTTCGGGAGGACGGCGACTTTGGAGTGGGGGATTTTGGGGAAGACGGGGACTTCTGGGGCGAAGAAGCCATGGCTGCAGAAACAGATATGAATCCAAAGGTGCAGAGTAAAAAGTTTAGCCTGGAGTTACTAAAAACAATCTGCGTCAACTCCCTAAAGCGGAAACGGAATTCCAAGCATTTTCTGGTGAAGTGTCAAGCCCCTCCCTCCGAGCCTGTCCCACCGCCGCGGGAGGAGGGAGTCTGCGCCGTGGGTCTGTCCTGGGACAAGCGCGCAGTGGATGGAGAGCGTCACTGCTGCACTCATAAAGTCATCAGGATCATTTATTTATACACAGAGCAGTTCATTTAACGGTTTTTACTTATGGAAGTGTATTTACTCATCACATGTAACGCTGTATACATTATTGGTCTTTATAACTTTCTGACTTTTTCTGTGTCTGTATATAGTTTATTTATGTTTTTCTCGCTGTTTTTCAGTTTATAATTATAAGTTTTAGCACTTATTAAAAGTTAGTAAAGGTAAACACTTTATTTTAATGCATCTGGTGAATAACGAATCATTCTTTGGAGTTCTAGTGTTAGGAATCCCAGAGCTGTCATTTTACTGCTCCCATTCAAACCAATGGAATTTATGAGAAATGACTCCCAAAGAGACTTTTTCACCAGATTAATTAAAAAGTTAGGCATTTACCTTTTACTCACTTTTAACTCAAATACTGTTACTATGGTGACTAGAACTTTATTTTATGTGGTGGAAAATGAGTTAAAGATAGAAATACTCACATTTCACAAATAAAAGATCATAACTAAATAGAAATAAAATAAATAGCAAATACACTTCCAAATTGACTGCTTTGAGAGTTTTAGTGTCAAAAAGGTATTACATTCGTTTAGTTTCATTTTCATGGCTTGTCCACAGTATGGCCATGATAGCCCAAGCATGTGACATCATCAGGGAAGTTTTACAGGTCTGTAATTCATTCATTCATTTCTGTGGATAAGCCACTCACTGTAATAATGCAGGCTTTTGGGCCAGAAAACACTGATATTTAATATTGTAAAAACATGCACATTGGTGGGACTGTCTCTCAGCTGGCCTGGGAACGCCTCAGGATTCCTTCTAATGAGCAGGAGGAAGTGTGGGTAGAAAGGGAAGTCTGGGCATCACTGCTCAGACTGCTGCCCATGCGACCCGGCAACGGATAAATTGAATGAAAATGCATGGATGAGGCATATGGGTTGTAGATTTTTTATTATGCCTTATTCTATTCTCTACTTTTGACTTGTTCCCCCGTGAGCCAAAGCAATTTTCAAGTCCATGACTTTGTTACTTACATAGCAATAAGAATGATTCTGATTTAAAGCTGTAGTATACAACTTATTTGTTTCATAAATAATACATGTTGTTTGTCCAAATGCAAACAACATGCAAAGTAAGTAAGTAATCTTTATTAAATATAGCACATTTGATAGATAGTGTATTGAGTAAAATGTCGAACAAATTAGAGAGAAAGAGAGCCCTGAATGTTGATGTTGGACAAATGGGCGGAGAGCTGAGTGAGGTCCTTTCTTTCTCTTTACTGGGACACTGACAGAAGAGAAGTAACCAGTATGTGCCATCCGCCCCTCTGACCACCACCAACCATTCACCCACACACCAGACTCAGTGGCAATGTGGGTGAAGTGACTTGCCTAAAGACACAACAACAGTTTGGCACTTCACAGTCGCCCCACTGAGGCACCTGGTGTTCTCAGATGTCTCCCATGACAGTACTAACCAGGCCCTGCACTGCTTAGCTTCAGAGGTTCAACAGGATCTGACTTTTCACAAGCAGGTGGGATCATGGTCCTTATATGGGAGTTGTGGATCGCGTGCTTCCAATGGAGAGTCGGGGGATCATTCAAAATGCAGCAGCAGTAACTTTTATTTAACTGTTAAATACATTGAAATAAAAACAAGCACACAGTGAAACACAAACAGACAAATCAGCCATAACACACAGAAGCGACCCTCTCACTGGACTCGTCTGTGTGTGTCAGACAATGCGGAACAGTTGGAGCCATTTCTGATTCACCTGTAGCAATAAATTAAACTATAATGCAAAATTCATCAGGTAGATCAATAAAAATTAAAACAAATTCAGCAGAAAGAACGCCACACACTTCACAAACAGTTACAAAAACAGACTTTTTTTTAAACTAAAAGCAAGGATTTTACAGTAATGTTGGTGTTTGGTGCTCAGATGTGGGAGGGTCTTGGGATGGTGGTGAAGTTCCAGGACACTCGAAATGTAAAGGCATTTCTCAACATTTATGGTCATCTGCCCTCTTTATTTGTTTTTTTTTATCATTGCATTTCTTGTGTTTGAACTGTTTCATTCTCTGGTCTGCGTTGGCGAATTGGACGGTTTTGTAAAGTCCTTAGAGAAAACTACAGGTGTGATTTAGACCAATACAAAAATACATTGAATTGTTAATAAGCTGATGCAGTTGTGGCACAGTACAGTCTCTATTCCACCAACAGCCACAAATCCCCTCCGCCTTAATTCAGACCAGTGCTGTTCCGTGCTTGGCCAGGCCTGCCCCCCCTCCCTTCAGCCGTCAGCCCCCCCGCTGTCGTCCGGGTGGGCCCAGTGGAACTCGTACCCGCGGGACAGCAGCAGGCTCTCCAAGTCGCGGTCCTCGGCTCGCTCCTTCAGCCTCTGCTCCTCCATGGCACAGACCAGCTCGTCGCGCCTCTCCACGGTCCTCATGATCTCCGCCAGCATCTGCTGCTCCTGCCGCAGCTCCGAGGCGCTCTTCTTTGAGTCTGTTGTACAAAGTTAAATACAGTGTGTGATTTTATGTGTGTTTTGCCGTGTTGTGTGAGGTTTGAGCACAATTCACTCAAAATACATTTGAAATCTTCGCAATTTTTTAAGGTTAAGGTAAAATGTATTCTATTTTTCTATACTTTTTTTCTACACCCGTCCTGCAATGCTATTATAGGGATACCTGTCAAGAGCAACGGTCGCCACAGCGCACAGGAAATTGGTCAGGACTACCGGAAGTGGAGGGTTTTACCTATTGTACATCTTCAAGTGGTGGGGCATGCAGAGGAGACACGGGAAGAACATACAAACTACACTCGGAAAGGCCCTGGAGCTTCTTGTTGAGAAGAGAGAGAGCAAACCGCTATGCCGCTTTCTGACTCTATATCAACATTTTAGAGAAAACCGCAATATCTCAGAAGTACCCTGAACTATAACGGCACCTTTTTATCTAAAACATACTCTTCGAATCTACAAGTTTCTCATCTTCATAATCTCCACAAACATCCAGTCCATATGTGTTCTTGTCTTGCTACTACTACTACTGTATCGTCTTAGGAAAATAAATATGTAAAGTAGTGAGAGTATCATTTCGAGTTCTATGTACATCAAACATTATAATCAAGAGTCAGTACATAGAATTTTCTAACATATCTTCATTAACAATTACTTATTACAATATTCTACGTGATTAAACTCAAAAAGGAGTGGGAAGAAGGAAAACAAGCGTATAGATTCCCACCCCTGCTTTAACAATGAGTAAATTAAAAGTAGGTCCACTGGGGGCTCAAATGCATTAGACCGCCAGGTGGATATGGCTAATCTCTTGAATTCATGCACCCCAGAGCATAGAGGAAAACATGGCCTTACATTGTGTGCGTTTGTTTTAAACTAGTCTCAAAGGTAAAGGGATTCTCTTTGTTTCATGAAGACATACAGTGCCTTGCGAAAGTATACTTGAACCTTTCAACATTTCGCCACATTTCAGGCTTCAAACATAAAGATATAAAAATTACATTTTTTGTCAAGAATCAACAACAAGTGGGACACAATCGTGAAGTGGAACGAAATGTATTGGATAATTTAAACTTTTTTAACAAATAAAAAACTGAAAAGTGGGGTGTGCAATATTATTCGGCCCCCTTGCGCTAATACTTTGTAGCGCCACCTTTTGCTGCAATTACAGCTGCAAGTCGCTTGGGGTATGTCTCTATCAGTTTTGCACATCGAGAGACTGGAATTCTTGCCCATTCTTCATTGCAAAACAGCTCGAGCTCAGTGAGGTTGGATGGAGAGCGTTTGTGAACAGCAGTCTTCAGCTCTTTCCACAGATTCTCGATTGGATTCAGGTCTGGACTTTGACTTGGCCATTCTAACACCTGGATACGTCTATTTGTGAAACATTCCATTGTAGATTTGGCTTTAAGTTTTGGATCATTGTCCTGTTGGAAGATAAATCTCCGTCCCAGTCTCAGGTCTTTTGCAGACTCCAACAGGTTTTCTTCCAGAATGGTCCTGTATTTGGCTCCATCCATCTTCCCATCAATTTTAGCCATCTTCCCTGTCCCTGCTGAAGAAAAGCAGGCCCAAACCATGATGCTGCCACCACCATGTTTACTTTAAACAAGACTTTTTATGGATATCTTTGAGAAATGGCTTTCTTCTTGCCACTCTTCCATAAAGGCCAGATTTGTGCAGTGCACGACTGATTGTTGTCCTATGGACAGACTCTCCCACCTCAGTTGTAGTTATCTGCAGTTCATCCAGAGTGATCATGAGCCTCTTGACTGCATCTCTGATCAGTCTTCTCCTTGTTTGAGATGAAAGTTTGGAGGGACGGCCGGGTCTTGGTAGATTTGCAGTGGTCTGATACTCCTTCCATTTCAATATAATTGCTTGCACAGTGCTCCTTGAGATGTTTAAAGCTTGGGAAATCTTTTTGTATCCAAATCCGGCTTTAAACTTCTCCACAACAGTATCTCGGACCTGCCTGGTGTGTTCCTTTGTCTTCATGGTTCTCTCTGCGCTTTAAACAGAACCCTGAGACTATCAAAGAGCAGGTGCATTTATACGGAGACTTGATTACACACAGGTGCATTCTATTTATCATCATCAGTCATTTAGGACAACATTGGATCATTCAAAGATCCTCACTGAACTTCTGGAGTGAGTTTGCTGCACTGAAAGTAAAGGGGCCGAATAATATTGCACGCCCCACTTTTCAGTTTTTTATTTGTTAAAAAAGTTTAAATTATCCAATAAATTTTGTTCCACTTCACGATTGTGTCCCACTTGTTGTTGATTCATAACAAAAAATTAAAATTTTATATCTTTATGTTTGAAAACTGAAATGTGGCGAAATGTTGAAAGGTTCAAGGGGGCCGAATACTTTCGCAAGGTACTGTAAGTAACTGCTGCTCCTGGTAATTTTTTTGACGTTTTAGTGTAAATTTATAATATCTCACTTTTGAGCCTAAAAACATCTGTGTGGTTCCCTCTCGACCTTTTTGGTGACACTACATTTGAGTTTTGTGCCTGGCCTCTCAATTGGCTCTGGAGTACTGTGTGACGTCAGTTGGTATGTGTGCGTCTGTCTGCACCAGTGATATAAACCCATCCAACTCTCACAGACGCCCCAGGAGCAGGTTGAAGTATTCTGGCGACAGCTAGTGGTTTAATATTAAATTACATCAGTTGACAGCCACTTCTGCTGAGATAATTCAGTGGCTTAGGTTCAGGTGTGTAGCTCTACATTTATCTTAGTGTGTAAACAAGGGTGGAATGAGACTTTCTGGTCTGTAAACTATTGCTTTAAGCAGCAATGACAACTGTCCGGTTTTTGTGTGTGACAAGCAAGCTGTCAATCACAGCCCAGACCACGCCCAACTCCCAGCCCCCCCTTCTTGTCCCTTGGTCCTCCATGCAACGCCCTTTTTAGAGAAAATTTTCAAATGTTCATGTGGACGGAGTAAGGCTGGGCGCAGGTGTTTAGTCGCCATGTAATATGCTAAAGCTAGATCATTTATTTAGTATGAAGCGGTGTTCAAGTATTTTATCCTGTGCTGTGTTTTTTTTACCTTTTGCTGGTCTGTAACATGGTGATGCAACACTGAAATTTCCCCACTGTGGGACCAATAGAGGATCCTCTCAATCTTAATCTTACCGTCTACTGCCATTCGTTTCCTCAGTTCCTGCTGCAGCCTGCTCTGTACGTCTTCAAGTTCAAGTTCTTGCACACTAGACACATAGATTGTGTTAAGTCACTGTCTATGAGATGAACGTACAGTATGTAGAGCTGAATGCTGTTATCAACATACAAGATCATTAGCTCCGACTCATATCGAGCCATTCTGTTCTTCTCCAGAACTAGTTTGAACCAGGCCTGATACAGCTGGGCTTCATCTCGGTCATCTGAATGGGACTTTTCTGTCAAAGCGTAAAAGAAGAGTTATTATGAAGTGAAATAAGATGAATGAAAAGGAAACATCTCGGCACAGAGGCGGCACCAAAGACTTTTTTAAAACCAATCGCATACAAATGATAGAAAAGGCAGCTATGCACTCAGATCAAATCTCAAAGGCAAAAGTACACCCCGAAGGACATCTGCTTTGCCTCAACCTGACAGGACCATACGCGGCACTATACAAGCGCAAACAAAGGCCCGTACAGTAAAAAGATGTGACAACAATGAAGCGTCACTGTGCTTTGTGAGTGCCACCATTAGCTGTAAGCTTTTAACCACACCAGTGTTAGTAAATGGGCCGAGAAGTCCACAGAGGAAGAATGTGGCTTTTACAGAAAAAAAAAAGAAAAACATTTCAATGGAAAAGACAGTATTTTTGTCCAAAGTGTTAGTCATGGCCATGCGACTATAGTGGTAATTATGAGACACGCTGATGACTCCGGGTTTTAAGCACCAGAGCTTTGGTCATTGTTGGATGTTAAGTACCTGTTTCTCCTCTTATGAGTTTCTCTATAGCAACACCTCGCTCCTCCAGATCCCGCTGCTTCTCGCCGACCTCCTCCAGTTGTCTCTGAATAGTCTGCGAAATAAAGAACGTGGTTCGTCTGTATGTACTGCATGTGAAAGTATTTATGTTAGTCTGAACCCCCGGCGCTTTCGAGCCAGAGGGCAGAAACAGAGGAGCCTATGTCGTCTGCTCGGTGCGCTGCCTCTTCAACCGGGCAACGGATAAAGCGGAAGACAATTGATGGGTGGATGGATGGTGTATCTGCTCGTTTTTAGGTGTGTATTAAAACAAAGGTGTGTATCAACACGAGGATACAAAGGTTACAATAAGTACACTCTTGGTTAGGGGTGGGAACCTAAGGGTACCTCACGATACGATACAATACACGATACAAAGCTCACGATAACGATAATATCACGATATGACGATTATTGATATATTGGTCAGAAATATACAATATGCCAATTTATGGCATAAATAAAAGAAAAAATACTCTTTATTTCATGATAAATAGAATGGAGATGCGTAATGTAGCCATATATTAAGTATTGATACCAATTCAAAAAAAAAATCAAAATTGATATCGATACTTGGCAAATGCATATCGATAATCGAATCGCGGGAGAAAGTAGTCACACCCCTACTCTTGGTACTTTTTTGATACTATAGTAATGTATTTGGGTCACAACAGAACTAGTTAAATAAAGAATCATTGTATTTTAAACCTGATTTTTTATCATCTATGCTCACATTTAAAGCTGGGGTACCTAACTTACAAACAACGACACAATTAGGGATGTAATAAAATCCATCTCACTCGTTTCTGGCTCTAAAATGGTTTACTTTGATCTTTTGTTTTCACATGTTTGTATATTTTCTGGCCTCTGTATCGTGTTTTTTCAGACAGAAAAAATAAAAAAGTGGACCGTTCTCACTGAGCTCTGAGCCCGTGTCAATAGTGACTCACTGGGCTCAAAAGACACATTTTGAAGACAGCATGTTCTGGTCTGATTGTCACAACAGATAAGTAAGACATTGTGGATCAAAGACAACTTGACAGGTCACAGTGTGTTGTACCTGTGCTCTGTGCAGCCTCTTCAGCTGGTCCCTTTTCACCTGCTGAGCCAAAGACTTCTCCTGCTTCCTCCTCTTCCGGTCTGGGTGCCACTGCAAATCACACAAATAATTCAATTTAATTTATTCTTGCATAGCATAGCCCTAAATCACAGCAGTTATCTTGGAGGACTTTACAAAACTGTTGAATTTGCCAACACAGATCAGAGAATCAAACAGTTCCAATACAAGAATTGCAATGATAAAAACACATAGAGCCATTGGTCCATAAGGGGAAGATGACCACTGTCTATAAATGTTGACAATGTCCATAAATACATGAATATGCATAAAAACTATTAAATAATTAGTTTTTCAAGTCTATCTAAATCATAATAGTGAATCACCTTTTTGGAGAAGACAGGATTTTCCTTTTCATCTTCACTGGAGGATGGATCTTCTAAGCTTTGTTGACTAGATGCTAGAAACAAATAAAACAAATGATCACAACTCTGCGCGGCATGTTCTGAAATGCGAGGGATGAACTGAGAGTAAGAGACCTTTGTTCCTGAGGCTTGTGAGAATGGTGCTGATCTCCTGACTCTCGCGCCGCTGCTTCTTCTTGAGGCGCAGAGAGGAGAACAGATCGACCCGGCGGCGGGGCACAGAGGCCTCGGAGACCCTCCTGCTCCGGAGTGACACCTGCTGGAGCAGCGAGGGCAGGTCGCGGCCGGCTCCCCACGGGTCAGAGCTCGCACCGGGCACTTCGCTGCCGCCTTTGTGCCTGTCTGGGCCCCAGTCTGCGGCGCCGAAGAGAGAGCCCAGGCTGAAACCGCCTTCAGACATCGGCCTTTGTCTGTGAGTTCCTTCTCGCTTTGGTCTTCTGCAAAAAAACAAAAAAAGAATCACCCGTCCATCCATCGATCAATCAAAAAAAAAAGGTGCATTCTTTGACTGTCCTGGTTGTGACCTGCTTTTTGTGAAGTGGTCCAATACACACCTCTCCGCTAAGTTTGGTTTAAAACATGTACATTCCTCGATTATTAAGAAGAGTGGCTTCTCTACAGAGTGATGTCAAATGCTTGTTTCCAATTAAAACAATATCCAGTAATAAAAACACCACCAGGAGAGTTGATGAATGCCTCTGTCAATATTATACCCATTAGCATAGATTAGTGAACAGGCTGCACAAAGGAGACATGTTATATTTTGTACTGTAAGGGAAATACTTATATCTATAGCTGTAATGCTCTTCTACATAGTATTACATACCTGACCCCAAAATGTATTTACAAAACTGAATGTAAACATTTAGGAATTTAGGAATAAAATCACTGAGATATTTTGCTACAAATCTTCTCATATAGAAATTATTCATTCTTCAGTCTGATAGATTAACAGACCGTTTGACAATCCTATTTCTATCATGATTTAATGTTCCATCTTTAGTTTGTTGTCAGCAGACGACAAATGAAATGACTGAAATTAAAATCATGCACATCACTGCAGAATATCAGCAGCATAAGTCCCCAAAACAAATGTCTGAAGGACATTTTCATTTGCACAGGACTTTTAGAGAGTTGGACACATAAGAGTACGTACATAATGACAGTGGCGCTGGGGCTGCTGGGACGGCTCCTTCGGAAGGCGTTTGCAATGAGCTGGAAGACTGAGGACGAGGAGTTCTGGCTCGGAGCTGGATCCTGGACTGGGTCTATCTGGGCTTTATCTCCCACTGCGTCTGTTTGCACCTGATAAGAAATCAGAGCAGTGGAAAAACACTCGCAATGCAGGAATAATTCCCCTTATCTTGTACACATCGTTATCCTTGGACTATTTTTGAAGCCAATTTAGAATTTCAGAAACACATCCAAGTGGCCAAACTAGGCCAAAGTGAACTTTGAGATTATTCAAATAAATTGGTTGTGGAGTTATTGGTTGCGGAGCAGCATTAGCCCAAGCCATCGACTTGTGGCGATACCAGATGAGATAGAATTTTGTCTCCAATGTGTTTAAAACGACCAATAAAAAAATTATTTGAAGGTATTTTTGTCATCCCTCTTTCTATTGGCCAATGGCTTTACATCATGTATTTGTTATTGCATTTCCTGTGTTTTAATAGTTTGATTCTCTAATGTGATGGTGAATGAAAAACTTTGCAAAGCCTTCAATTGTGAATTAGGGTTTTACAGAAATGCATGAATTGAATAAAATGATGGAACTTTTCTAATGTCAGAAAAAACCATAAACACACATGTATTTCATAAAATAAATGCCTAAATAAAGGGATCAGTGGAACCTTCCAAACAAATACATTTGAGACATTATTGAGAATCTAAATCTTAACAGTGAGAACTTCTGTTTAACATTCACATTATAGATAATATTATTCAAACAAAAAATGTTTTTCAATCAATGTATGATCTTCAAAACTGCATTATTAAACTTGAGACAAACATCTAAAACCATAATTAAACATTAAATTCAATGCTACACGATGTGGCAAACGTCTGCAGTTGGAAGAGTACCTGTTCGTTGTGTTGTGTAGTTTTGGGTCGACTCCCGTGAGTTTGTCTCGACGCCTCCTCGGTGGTGATCACGTCCCAGTCCAGCAGCTTCTCCTTCTCGCACACAGGGATGGTGAGGCGCTTCTTTGGGACGCACACACTGTTCGCTGGAGCCGTTTTGGCAAGGACCTCTTCTGGCACCTTCTTCCCCTCAGTAGGACACTGGAGATCTGGCTTCGAATGTTCAGACAAAACCTTCAAGTCAAACAAAACAGACACATCTCCATTTAGAAAGTGGAATTATGTACACAGGAAGTCAACAATTGCCTATTACTGGTTTTATCTTGAATATGAACCGTTTAGCTACAACTATGGGTGTGTGCTGTGACTCTAACATGCTGCATTTCTCTTCCCAGAACAAATTAACATACAACATGGCTGGCTGCTGGTGCGATGTCCTCAAAGTCGGAGTCTGCCTCAGGGACAGTGTCGTGTCCTGGTTTGTCTCCAGACCACCTCCTTTGGAAATGTTTCACAAAGATCAAAGGGAAGGCTGCAACACAACACACGACATATATCACATTAACTCCCACATGCTTAAACATGATCATATTATTCTACTAGTCACATCAAATCATCATAACAACATTAGGGAAGACCATATACTTATACTATAAAAAAAATATAAAATAGTATAAAAAGTATTTAAAAAACACATTATTGAAACATGGCTTGTTTCATGTCTATTGTTTGCTCGTCCAATACTTTTTCCACCATCCAGTAAAGATGTCAAAATAAAACAGCAATGGGTGACACCATAGCTAATACTGCCCTCTACTGGGATAAACTGTGCACTACATCATCAATATTTTAACCCTTTAGGCACGTAAGCAGCACTTGAACAAGCTCATGATTGGAGAACATCTATACCTGGCGTTCCAAAAAAATCTTTTGTTTATGTCTGTTATAAATAGTCCATTCTTCATTTCTTATACAATATCAGTTCTCCATGTTTTGTCTGGTTCACATACAAAATTCTGGACAAAGTCTGGTGCTAAAAGGGGAAATGTACACAAGCCTGATTGTTGCTGTACAAGTGAATGAGGTATTGGCCAAAAAACATTGAGAAAACATTTGTGTGTGGACTCTCTCTTTGTGTCGTTTGTGTGTTTGTTTGTGTGTGTGTGTGTTTAAAATATTTGCATTCCTTAATTTGCATGACCCTCTGTACATGTTGCCTTCTGTGCTTACAGTACATACCCACACTTGCAAATACATAAACATAGTAATACACAATCAAGCAGCAGTATAAGCCCTAGTTTCACCATGTGTTGTATATATATTATAATTTCAATAGGTATTTACAAATGCATTTCTATTTGTTATTCAGACACGTGGTTAGGATTAAGAAAGGAGTGTGGATAACAAAAAAGTATGACCTGCTGTGCTTTCTGTTCAGATTCAGTTACTTGAACATACTCACTGGCTTGGATTTTTCTTTTCCAACGATGACTTTGTTTGGGATTCGGCTCATCTATTTATGACAAAAAAAAACTTTCATTCAAACATATTCTCTAAGACAATGTGATGAAACAGGTTACATGTTTGTCACCTTTAGACATTTGTATATTTGGTAGTTCATAACAATAGCACACAGGCAGAAAGCACAGGGGCAGAGAGTGACAAGACTGTATCTCAGCAGTGATCTGAGATGGACTGTTCAATCAGGAAATTACAGTCCAGAAAAAACAAACACGAGGCGGGAAGCAAAGCAGAGCCGCACCCTGGTGTTGCAGACTTAACCCGTGAGGCCCACTCCTAAAACAAACATTGTGTATTCATGAAGCAGAGTTCATTCAGTTTGAGATGCTCCCTCGGGGAACACGTTTCGAATTACAGTACTGGGCAAAAACATTGTACGTTACTTGACAAATTGACTGTTAGTAGAATTGTTTGTAGAGAATGTTTGTGAGAACAGCCCAAAAGGGGAAAGGGACAAAGGGGTGTAAATAAACTCAATTATTAAAAGCCCGGGTGCCCAACTCTCATTTTCATAATTAATACATTGTATTCATTCCAACGGGAAGTCTTGTATGAGTAAAATTTTATAAATAAATAAATAAATAATAGCTCAGTCGATAGAGCATTGGCCTTTGAGCTGGAAGGTCATGGGTTCGAGCCCATCTCGGGATCTACTCCAACTACTCCCACTAATGTCTTCTGTAGTTGTGTCCTTGGGCAAGACACTTAACCCCACTTTGCCTGAATCTCCCGCTGAAACACCAAGGCTGTGGCACCACTGATGTAGCAGCCATCTTCCTGTGGACTCACCACCTGCAGAGGATCAGCGAGGGGCCGGTGCTTAAAGCATTGGGTGGCAGCTCTACTTGTCACCCCCTGACCAAAAAATTGACTAATAAAGGGGTAGAAAATGAATGAAATAAATAAATCTGAAAAACATTCAATCTTTTGCATGCTGGGAGTCAGTCTTTGATGCTTTGGGCTGAGAGCTGATTGGCTGAGGAAGAGAGTCGCTCCTCCCCAATGCAGCGGGGTCAAAGGACCGTGATTGATGATCCAGGACATATTATTGCATGTATTGCATAATTGTTTGATTTTCATTTCTGTTGTGGGTGAATTTATAATTTTGTAAAGACCTCCAAGATGAGGATAGTTCAATTTAGTCCTCTTTTTTAACTTCTCCGTTTATAACGGTCTTTTAAAGTCATAACTGTTTAACTTTAAACCCTAACCGTTTTTTATTGTCTTGTCTGGATGTTTTAATGTGGACCTAGAGTCTGTAATAAAGTTAAATAGAAAAAAAAGCAATCACTAGTGACTGTTTTGATGTATTATATTACACATAACATGTTTTGTATTCTGAAAGTTGGGTACCCCAGCTTTAACTCAATGGTTAAGCCATATTCTCAGGATGCTCCGAAAGAAAATCAAAGTGATAATTGAAAGTTTTCGTTCTAACCTTTCTGGGCCTTAGATTCCATTGGCTGATCTGAGGTAAGGCCCAGACAAGACGCGTCCAGAGCGTCCACGGCCATCTCTGCCTCGACATCAGTCAGACCCTCATCAGGACGCCGTGCTACACCTACAGAAGAAAACACACGTGTCACAAACACACACATTATGGTAGGAGAAACAGTTCATGCTCTGGAATTTCATTTTAGCTTATTTTAGTTTTATGACAGATCAGAAAATACAAAAGCAAAGTGAAGTACTCACAGAGGACAGAGATGATTCCACTTGGATACAGCAGAGAAAGGATTTTTGTAATTATTCAATGCTGATTTGAGTGTGTGTAGGGATAGGAGAGAGCAGACCCACAAGCCCATAAGATCAGGTCATTCACTTCAGTTGTTCTTGTCAGAGACATTTGGTTGGCTAGAAAACTGTGCAAACTCATTCTGCAATTATTACATGTCATATGTCCATTCTTCATTCAAAGCTACGATATTGTGAAGTTATTTGAGTGATGTTAGACAATCATGTGCCTCATACAGTCGTGTGTAGGTTCTAGATGATCAGCCTTTTGGACTGAAACCAAACTAAAACAGTAAGACACAGGGACGCAAACAAATCAATGAATATTATATATTTTATTTATATTCTATTTACAGCTAAACATCATATTTACAACTTATCATAATTAATACTGCCCAATAAAGCTAACTGTAAAACAGTTAACAGTGTAGCCAGAGAAATTGGCGATGTGCAAAAAGTCCTCAGCAGAAGGATACTGAATGAATATCGAGCGTTGCTTACAGATAAAGGCATTTGCCCACACATTATACATCACATGTTGATAAAGTAGAGTTTGTGTGCAGTTCTACTTAGACACAAGAGAGGGACCGGGACAGGGGCTCTGAGGGGACAGTGCCTTCGTCTGAAAGAAAGGGAACCAGAGATACCAGACAGACAGATGGACGAGGTTACTTAAATGACCGGACACTGAGGCTGTGGTTAGTGATGTTAGAGGAAAACGCATCAACTCAAGCAGAGACCTACTGCCTTTAAATAATCCTTTACTCACAGGAACACTAGGCATTAAATGGCAGTGATACTTATTATTATATTATATATTATATTTAACACCATCTACTGCCTCAGGGGTTAAAAGGAAGAATGGGTAACTGATAAAAACACAGGGGACTCGACAGAATATGACTTTTTCATGATGAGAAGTGCAGGCCACAAATACTCCATGCGATACTCATGCACTATTCTCTACTTCAGTGGTTAGCTCCAAATGTGTAGCTCAGCCAATCCAAATGCTGTTGTAATTCTCCATCACCTTTCCCATGGTGGAAATCAGCAAATCAGTGGATGCAAAATTGGAAAGTTAAAATAGACTGAGCAAAATGAAGTGAATGAGAAATGGAAGAATTTGGAGGGAAATGGAGAAAACATTGGGATGAAGGAAAGAAATGCACATAAAAACAAATTACAGTTTGTACAAACAATATATACAAATATATAAGAGTACTCCACTATTTTAGAAATGGTTCCCATTTAGGAACTGCTGAAAAGTCTTTATTTCTTGAAAAAATGGAAATCCAGGCACTTTTGGTTTGGTTTCAGTCATAAAATTCAAACAATACAAATCAAATAATATAAAATATTAAAAAAAACATAAAAAGTGCCAGTTAAATAATATTAGGCAATTACAAATACAATTACAGTTAAAGTGAGTATATAGTTAAAGAAACTGTATGTAATATTTTGATGGTAAGTTACAGACCTGTACTTACCACTGTGCCATATATACAACCCATATATGGCATTTTCTGATCAACATCGTGCTGATTTATTTGTAATAATAAAAACTACATACAGTTTCTTTAAATACCTCACAGCGGTATACTGCACTGTAATCACACATCTTTGGAGTGCAGTGTTAACATGCAGCAGACCAAAACAGGAAAGCCTCATTAGCACAAGCATGTTTCAGGCTACACTGCAAAGCACCTGTTGAACAGACACATCAAACCTGCTTATCTACGTCGATTTTGCAGGTCACAACTTAGCAAATAAAATGACTATAAAACCAAACTACACTTTGAATTGTAAGAAGGTATAGGCCACGTTCTTTCTACTTCAGGTGGAGGAGAGACTTATTTTTTATTTCTTCCGATTGTTCCAGGAATTACAGATAAATTAGCTCTACTATGGGCTCTTTGGAATGTTATGATGTCCCACAAGCGTAACCAGATGACTGTAATGATGCAGGCTATGGTAACCAGCCCGTGTCTAAGTACACTGGTTTAAGTGCTCCTGGTAGGTCTGACTAGACACCTCTTGCATCATGCACAGCAGAGGAACAGACACGCTCAGCAGCTCAAACAGATATTCATAGTCAAGTGAGTGGGACCTCAAGTGGGACACTAAAGCTGACACGCACCCACACACATTTCCCAGCAGCGTTTGAGGCAACCCCCAGGCAGCTCGGCTTGCACACACTGGCCAGCACAGGCCTCGCCTAAGCAATGAAACCATGGTACCTGCCACTGCATCGCTGCTGGCAGCCGTGCAGGTCTGAGACTGGTCCGAGCGGTCCTCCTGCACAAGAGAGTCTCAAGTATAAACAAGAAAGGTCTACAACATTATTGTATATAACTAAATGTATAATTATTGCTCACCTTTCTTCTCCTAAACTTTCCAGTATTAGTGCTTGATAGGTGTTGGGCATAATGCGTTTTGCAATAAAACTTTCCTGCCATTTAAATACACAGACAGAAGTTAGTAGAAGCAAAAACATAAATACCTGCAACACAACTGCATGCTGTAGGTGGAAGAAACATGTGTGTTGAATAAAATCAGTGGAAGCGTCTGCTTACAACCCCTTTTTCAAACCACACGTTGTTGTACAAACATTTGAAATAAACACGTTTTAACCTTAAGAGTCTTCTGTACCTTCTCTAGAGTCGTACATATGTGTTCCCAGTCGTAGCACGCAGTTGCAGACGTCGCAGCGGAAACAGTCACGGTGGAAAAAGTGTCCGTCCGCGCTGAGCCTCTCCATCACGTAAACCCGCTTGGAACAGAAATGGCACATGTCGCTGCCGCCGAGCGCTGGAGCGAAACCACCGCGACCGACGCACTGTGGAAGAGAGAAAAGGATCCTGAGTCTACATCGTTCCATTGATGAGAACGTGTGGAGCCCAGAGCCTCCTCTGTCGGACACATGATCACACCAGCAGGTTTTGTTAAAGCTCATGAACGCAGACATTAGTACAAACGACCACTCCAGCGTCTTGTTAGATTACTTCCAGCAGGTCATGCGTCGAAAACATCTACGCCGATCTTACCGTCGAAGCGTGAGGTCTGTGATCGGTCTCGTACATAATGGCCAACCTTTGGGCTTTAGCATCGATGGCTGAAGACACCTTTCCAATGGTGCGCTAACGTTACACACACCAAGAGAAGCAGAAAGTCAGACCCCTTTATTGGGTAAACAAGAGTGACAGAGAAATAGGAGCTTGAAAATATCGTAATGGAGCGAGAGCAGCACTGGAGTGTTTATGATACCTCTTTAAGATACTTAGGGGCAGCAGCCGGACAACTCTCAGAGCGAACAAAAGACTTTGGAAGAGGCATTTCGGAACTTGTAGGATACTAATAACAGAAGAATGGGAGGCTTGTAAACAAAATATGAAATACGATCAAAAATTACTTTATATTTTCATTAGATGTTTTCTATAGTTAACTACAGATTGTTGCATTAATACTTTGTAGGAGTATACAAGGCTGAAAACTCAACCAGTCCAGGGACGGTATATGACATAATTCTCTGTTTTACAATTATTCCTTGAAAATACTGATCAAGTAAATTAATTAAACCTCATTTACCTTAGAGGAATCGTTTTCATCGTTTTCAGTGTCTGGAGTCATAAAATGTCGAGTATGTTCAACTTGACTGCTGAAGTGAATTGTTGGAGAAAAACTGGGGGAACTGTTGTGGCCATTAACACAGTTCAAGTCAGGAGGAGGAGATGAAGAGATACTTCTGTTTAGCCTTCTGTCCTTTGATAAATGCACAGCGGCATGAGGCTGACGAGAGGAGGCGTCAGTCTGAGCCATGTTTTTAAACGTAGCAGCGCTGGGGGAAGAGATGAAACCATTCTGGGCAGTAGGATCTGGGACCGGGTGGATAGTGGGGTACATAGAGGAAAGATCAGAGACAAGAGGTGGAGCAGGAGGTGAAGGCGAAAGGGCAGAAGCAGATTTTCCACCCTAAAAAAGGAGAAGGAAAGGACAGTCGCAGTTACAGTTTGGGTAAGAAGTTGAAAATGTATCTGAAATTGCAGTCATTTTCAGTTATTAAACTAATAACTGGACCTCCTTATCTGAAAAAGAAGAGGCTGGAGCTTTGCAGGACCCAGAAAACAAAGAGGAAAGGTGACCTGCCCTCTCCTGTATACTCCTTCTGGTAAATTCTCGACTTGACAATGTTGAACCTTTACTCTGAAAAATGGCAAAAAGCAGTTAACAATAAAAAGTGAGTGAGTTGACTCAATTTAGATGACGTGGCTCTTCGTCACCTGCTGCTCAGACTCATCCGAGTCCATGTCTGAGAGCGCCAGAGTGGAAAAGTGGACCACCGGAGAGCAGGGGCGCTCTGACCACGCCGAGAGAGGGGGAGTGAGGGAACAAGGCAGGGCCACAGGGCTGAGACTGCGAGGAGGAGAAGGAGGGCTGGGGCAGAGAGACGCACTGGGATTCTCCAGTAAACGCAGATAGACTGAAGGCTTTACCCAGAAGCACCAGGACAGAGGTAAAAGAAAGAAAGATTAAAGTTAAAAGTAAATAAACAAGGTTCTGTTACTGAAAGATTTTATCTCATGTTTTAATGCACTGTGGTTAACTACTTTTTTAATCCCTCGTATGATAATGTTTTAATGATTTTAATTTCCTAATCTTTTTATATTACCTGTGTGATGTTCCTGTTTTGATGTTTTTAATAACCTGTAATTTTTTAATTGTGTTTTAAATGTTGATTCTGTTTTTTGTTTCATGTGATGATTTGTGCTTTGTGTGATGTGGACTGTGAAGCGCTTTGACTTGCCCTGTGTATGAACGGCACTCTACAAATAAAAGATTGATTGAGGCCTAAGAGAAAAAAAATGTTTTGATTAAAAATACCTGCCATTTTGGGCAAATGGGAGGAGGAAGAAGTGGGGCAACCTTAGGTTTAGCAAAACGGGGGTTATCAGTGACGTCCTCATCCTCCTCTTCATCCTCAGAGGAGAAAGGAGAGGATGCAGGAGACAGAGAGACAGGATGTGAAAGATCCCCATTGGACTAAAACCAAGACAGAGAGAAGGAGAGCGAAGAGGAAATGGAATAGAGGCTTAAAGGAAACAAAGGAAGGTATTAAAACGTTTTATTAAAAATGTCTTACCTTGGTTTGTATTTTTCCTGTTGTACTGTTCTCCTCGAACTTGGCTAGGAGCTGAGTTGCCATCGATCGGACCTTGTTCTCCCGCAGCTCTCCGTTTTCAGCAGGAGGGGGAGCACTGTGGCAGGAGAGCTGAGGCCAGACAGACAACTTCAGTAACCAACGCAAAGTGTGTAGAATGGTAATGTCCTCAAACCTCTGATAGATAATGGTCTCCCTTTCTCCTCCTCTTGTTCACAGAGTCATCGTCTGCTCGCTTGTCATCCTGTGAACGAACAAAACTGATTAGGAGTTTAAAATGGATTGACTTAAATGGAACTTTGAACAAAAAATTACTAACCCTGGGTATTCTCTTTCTTGGTTGATTGTTGTTGGTTGCAAAGTCTTTTGTGTTCTCGTCGGACTCTCTAAATCCTATCACAAAAACAACAAGAAATACCTTTTGATATTTAATTTCCAACCAAATAACTTAAAACCCTTCCTAAGATACCACCCATTAAATAAAGTAAATATTTTAGAAAAAAAAGTAGTACTGTAGCAATAGTTTTTCTTATAGCATGTTCTTATTTAACCTACAAACAAACAGGTTATGTACCCGTCAATTAAAAGAAAATCCTGTTTCAGTTCATAATGCTCTATAAGGAGAAAGTTAGTTTTTCCCAGACTTTCACAGGATTAGTCTAGAGGTGCATTGCAGGTGACAGAGTTTAGCGACTTCGAACATGAAAGCAGAAAATCAAACGGCTCTGGTTCCCAGTGTCTGAGCGGCCCTCAGCACCTCCATGGCTGCACTCAGATATGACTTCAAGACACGAAGCACATACCAGGCGTTCCTCTGGCAGGAACTAACCTGACCACGAAGCTAAGGCTGTGTAATTGAAGCTTTGTACATTGGACGAAACCTTCTATGACGGCTCCTGCCTGGGCTGTTTGACTTTTACATGTATGTGTTTCTGCAAAAGGAGACATGCAGTGTTTACACAGTTAAGTTTGCTTTTCTATAGAATTCCAGCGCTTCTCCACGGCAAAGGAGGAAACGTTTTATCTGAGTGAACACTTTGCTTGAAGCCTATTTGCTCAGGGTCAGGGGTAAACAAAGCTGAAGTCGTAACAACAAACGTGTGCAAAAGAAAGAAGAAGAAAAACCTTTGCTGCGTAGTGGCGAGTTCCTAAAAGTCTCATAGAATTTTGAGAGGTAGAGGACCATGAGCAGTTTGTCCGGCTCTCCCCCGGCGGACATCTCCTGCCCCGTGGTGACCGGTTGAATGTTGAGCTCTCGCTCTGCTACATCAAACGCTAGCTGGTTGTTTTCTGCCACGTTCTCTACATTCAGACAGTCAAAGTCCCTACGACAAACATCAGAATATACACACAATTAAGTTAAGAAAACAACAAAAATCAGACTTTGAAAACCCAGTATCCTCCTCCCTTCTCCTTATCTTGAGTTCATAATTGATTGTAGTTTTATTGAGTAACATGAAACAATGACATACAAGCCATTAACAAGCTCATGCAACGTGCTCAAAAGGAGGAAGACATTGTTCCTTCCCCAAAGCAAAGTGGATTTTTGCTAGACAACAAACGTTCTCATGAATTTTTGAATGTTTATTTGATTATTCTTTTTAAACTGATTAAATACTTTTTTACATACTTACATATAATTGACAATTGGATTAGACATTCAATAATCAAGTCACAGATGATTCGATATTTAGATATTATAGGAACATATTAAATTAAAATAACAAGAACAAAAACAGACTTTTTATTGTTCCATTTACCTTTCTATATTAAAACAATTCCTTTGTAGTGAGCTTTGAACTGGTGAGTTGTTGAACTTTGCTTAATTTGTTGCTTCTAACAGTTACAGACACCACACATATATAGCATTTTTTTTTTTTCAGGTAGTCCTTAAAACCCGTGAGGCTTAAGATAATCACATAAACCCAGAATCGTTGCTGGTTAGGGGTTTTTTGATTTCAGAAACTGGGCACTGCTACATGTGTGAGTTATCAGATAATTTGTATTCCTCATGTTCAGCAGCATTTTCCTTTTCTCTCTTGAGTCACATTTTCTCTCAACGTGACTCATTGATCAGACCCGTTTGTGATCCATCAGGTGAGTTCTTTTTCAGACCAGATGTATCACACACACTACAAGGGAAAGAGTTGCGTTCCTAGTGGTGTGTTTGACAGGTTTGGATGGAGGAAAAGACCTTCAGATAGAAACCTAAAGCTATTGAGGCATGAAGAACAGTTATCCTTCAGTTTTCCTGGAAGCCCAATGAACTCACATGAGGTCGGGCCTCTGGTGGTGGATGAGAGCACACAAGGCCAGTCCACTTCTCCAGGACGAGGTCAGGTTCGTGACCTCCACTCCTCTGTAGCCCTGCGTCTGCTTTTGACACCAGGTCAGCAGTCTACTAGGTCTCACCTCCGACTCTGTTGGAGGAAGAAAGTTCAGCAACTTCCAAAATGATAACAAAAATGATTGTGTTCAGAGGGTTGTATAGCGTCGAGTTGTGTTTGCTAAAGAGTGGCACGTCAGCACATGTCTGACCCTAATGTGGTGTAATGGAATCCCCTGGTATTGTCTGTGACGAGGTGTGTCGGCCTGTCGCAACGATAAGCTAATGTTACTGCATAAAGAGGAGTACAGAGGCACTAGGCATGATGTCATTTTTTGTGTGGTTTGTGTGATGTAGCGTATGGAGAACTTTAAAAAACATATTAAAACATACTTTTGTTGTGTTAAATAAGTTAACAGAGCGTTTTATACATTTACATTAAAATTAATAGTGAATGCAGTTTATATTAAACACAACAGTGTTATAATCCTGGGAGTTAATGCTTTGTGTAACAAACTCCTTTAATCCCTCTTTCAGAACAGTGCCACAACTCCCTTGCATTCCAGGTGTTCAGTCAATGAAAATGTAAACAATATCAACAGACTCCGTCTCACCTCGTCTTGAAAGACTGCTTGATTGTCGTATGGGACCTTTCTCCAGAGAACGTAAATCCTGTTTGCCGTCAATAAATAAATGGCGGACCTAAATAAAAATCAGAATTCTCTTGTCACACATCATCTATACAGCAAGTTGAATGTCCTCATCATCTCAACATCCACAAAAATTAAAACTGACCTGATGAGGTCGGACACAGGAAGAGTTGAGGTTGGGGTAGCGTGACGATGGGTCTATCGTGTACAGGTCAAAATTCTTACTGAGGTTTTCTGGTGTCGTTTGAGGCAGCAGCCTGTAGAGGCTCTCCCTGATACAAGACAAAAAATACCAAACTTACGTCTAAGACAAGAATGGAACGCACAAAATACATAAAAAGGTATATCAAATGAAGGGAACTCAACATTAACCCAGAACCTAAATGAATTTTGCACTAATAAATGTAGCTAAAAGTCAACATGTTTTTGCCCACCATACTGTAAACATGTCTACACTAGCGAACACTAACCTTTCCGCTAGAATCTCCAGGGGGTTTCTGCCCTGAGCCCAGCCCTTCACCATCCAAGCAGCATCAAAGGCGGCCAGGAACCCTCGAGCGCAGCCAGTCCCCATAGGCCAAAAGGGCTACAAAAACAGCCCATTATTATGTGCTCCTTTTGCAGAAAATTACAACAACTATGGCTTGTACCGTTTACCTCTAACAAACTGTCCCCCACTAACGCAACCAGCAGTTGATGCCCGTTTTTCTCTCGGATGAGAGCCGCGTTCTCAGAGGCGTACATGGAAGTGAAGTCAAACATGGCCACATCAGGCTGCCCGTAGTGGTTAATAGCGTAGTCGAGAGAAGGAAGTTGGTAGTTGGTCCCAAAGTCTGCAGCCTCACGAGCATAAGACAGCAACGCTTCCTGATCGACATTATCTGGGCTCAGCAGACGCTCTGTTTCAATGTAGTCCTGGTAATAAGGGGAAAACTTAAAATAGGAACAAAGTCATGAGCGATGCATAACCATTAATAACATCACTCTATCTATTGGAACTACTAAATGAGTATGAGTAAAAGGCCCCATGTGAGACCACGCGGGTGACAGTAAGGGATCACTCTGCACTGGAAGCCAATGTAAACTGAAACTGTGTCCACTGAGAGCTGGGGTCGGGGCGGCTTCAGCACTGGCTACAAGTCAAAATGCTATCCAAAAAGATCACGTAATCTGTTTTTGCCCATTAGGGAAATATCTGGCCAAAAATATCAGTATAAAAATGAAGATTTTAAAATAGTATCATGTCAGGGCTCTACAATCTACAACAAATAAAAAAAAATCTTCCATTATTACAATATCAATGTTATAAAGACATCGATATTTATAACATGAATATAAAAACTTATAAACTCGTGTCAATTCTCTTGAGGATGAGTCTGCTTACGTTTAAAATGACCCCTTTGTCCAGCAAACTTTGTTTCTTGGCCGTCATGACAAAGTAGTGGGTGTTGTCTTTGTAGTACACAATGTTCTCCAAGTTGATGCCTGAAGACACGAGTTGTTTAATTCAAGCAAACAGTTTAACAGCTGTTCAAAACAACAGAGACATGACTGCAAAAAACACAAACCAGTCTCCTCTTTGAGCTCCAAGAAGAACTTCTGATTAAAGATGAAGGCCACACCACTGATCTCCTCCACTTTAGCCTCAGCTGTGGTGTTTCTATTCACAAAGTTTGCAGTGATGGCTATGGCCAACTTTCCCCGAAACTCTTTGCGACTGAATCCTGTACAAAGAAAAATATGAGACAACAAATAATTTTCATTTTCTCATCATGTAGTAGAAAAAAAAAAAATTCCAACATTTGGCTGTCTTTGGCCTCACCGTCTAATGTGTTCCTTCTCCCATCAGCTCCAATGACCACATCAAAGTAAAATTCAGATACTGGGTGAGTGGCAGGTCGCACCTCTGCTCGCCATCCGGGACCTGACAACAACAATTTGTTATGATGACAAAAACACAACTAAGTTTACTCTTAGCTTTTCCTTCTTCGTTCTTCTAGAATAGATCTCGATTCATTCAACTTCAGTGAGAGCCAAATATAGCTGAAACATGCACTGAGGGTCCCTGTGTGGCCGTATCGTTTGTGACCCTCCAAGCTTAGATAAGACTTACTGTCGTCAGCCAGCTCCTCTGGGGGCTCCAGCAGTTTGCCAAACTCTACATTGACGTGGATCTCTACTCCCAGGATCAGAGACACCTTGAGAAGCATGAGCTGCAGTTGGCGAATACCTACAACACAAAGACAAAGTCAATGCATAAATAAACATTAAACATATAGTGAAAAACTGTTACTACACTTTGATGCACAGATGATTTTTACTAATGCATTTAAATATTAACCCACTCTTGAGATATGTTTAAACTGGGGCTGTAAAATTATAACAATTTTTAGTTGATTAATTGCATAGTAATGGTGAGTTGACTCACGATTAATCGCATTTTTAACATTCTATTTCAAATCCACTCCAATTGAAGTTAAATGAGACTATCGAATGTAATGACACATTGTCATTCAGACCAAATGTACTTAAATCTGTTTGATTTGCTCACAACCTTTTACTTTTGGGCACAACCAACATGACCTGTTAATGAAATGAAAGGGAAAATGTATGTACCCCAGATTTTATTTAGCGAGTTTAGTTGCGTTTCAGGAGGAGACACAGACACTTCCTGAGGCTCCATAGTTCAGCTTCAGCGGTGTATTTGCGTGCACAGGTTACGCACAGGTTACGCAAAGACACGCACACAACAACATTCAGAGAATAGTTCTGTGTTAAACGCGTTTTTTTTTTTTTTTACGCAATTAATGAAACATTTAATTAGAGTGCGTTGATGCGATAATTTTGACAGCCCTAATTTAAACCATTTATTTTCTGGTTGTTGGTATATAATCTGATGCCAGTCTGGAGACACTCACTGATGTGGTCGATGGAGCCCGCACAGAACTTTCCATAGAACTTCTTGGCTCCGAGTCCCTTGAGGTCATGGATGGTGTAGGGCCACAAGTGCAGTACATTGTTCCTTGAAAAAGTGTCCCTCTTCTCTATGACCACCACCTTACAGCCCAGCAGGGCCAGCTCTATGGCAGTCCGCAAACCACAAGGACCCCCACCGATAATGAGACACTGCAGAGAGGGGAAGACAGAAGAAGCAAGAAACCATTATACTCTTAATTTTTTTTCTCAACCAAAACCTTTAAAAGTATCATACAGTTGAAACGGCCTCCTTGTCATGTCACGCATCTATGCAATAATGTGCAATGATATCAGAATGTGCAATATGGGTCCACATGCATCCACTGTCACTTTACTTAGTAGCATGAGGCTCTGGGCTAAATTTGAACACGTACAGCAGTTCCATCACTGCGAATATTTTAACCCACAGAGGTAATGACTAAATACTTCAACATTCTTGCAGTATACTGTATTACAGATCTATCTATAGATGTATACAAACAAGTATACATTACTTCGCGGTAGAATATACAGGTTTAAAACTTATGTCAGGGGTGTCAAATCGGTTCCAGAAAGGGCCGGTGTGGCTACAAGTTTTAGTTACAACCCAGAGCCATATCCTCAAATCTTCAAGTTAAAACTGGACTCACCTGTGGACCGGTTTGACACCTCTGTCTACATTTAGACAGTTTACATTTTTATTATACTTTGTTTCTAAAGATTGAGATTCTATTTTTCTTAAACTATAGAGTTGTGCTTTCCTTTATATTCTCGTATCTTGTGCTGTGTGCTCATACTTCCTACAGTTCTGTAATTTGTGAAGTAAAATGGACATTTCTACACTGTGGAACGATTAACAGTTAATCTTAATATCGTTCAAAAGTTCATTCAACTCAAAAAAAAAAAAAAAGTTCATTCAACTCTGTAATTCAAGACTCATTACATGAAAAGTGACATTTATTTAGCCAGAGATATGACAAGCCTTTGTTATAATGTTATGGATAGTGGCTTACAGTCCATTTCCGAAACTTCAGAATCATTTTTGATTCGGGTTGACTTCGGGTTTTTACTAGCGTTGAGCCAATTATCGATTAATTAATTAAACAAAAAAAGCACTTTATACATCTCGCTTTGCGTGTCATAAGTCATGTATTGGGTTCACAATGTAAAGACAGTATTGCAGCAAGTAAATTAACAATAATCCAATTTTCCTCATGCTACAGCGCCAATATTGTCTGAATGTTGTTCTAAAATACTGACTAGTATCAAAATATCACCCACCCTTATATTCACTAGTCTCTAGTCAAAGAGAATACAGTAAAAACACCCAAAACAATCATGTTAAAGCAATAGCAAGATCTGAAATAGTAGTTTCCAGTATTGGCAGGTTTCTTTTGTGAGTTATAGAATTTGAGTGTCCTCCTTTATTTGAAGATATTTCCACCCTCTAACCCTCAGTCCAAATTCACACACAATCATCTTGAAGGAAATTGCAGATGGACGTGAGATACTTTCTTATGGCCTTGGTTATTTCTTATGAAACATGTTGTGCAGTCTTTGCGCTGTTGAAATGTTATCTTATGAACAAAGAAGCATCCACAATCTTGTTTAGGATTATTCACCTGCTCCCTGCTTCCCGTGTTGTGTCATGCTGTGAAGGCAACAGAAGCCTTGAGTCTATTGTTCTGCAGTTTCTTGGGCTAAATCCTGACCTGAATACTGCACATACAGCACTTGTCGGCACTTTGTCAAAATACTGGATAAGTCCTCTAATTGAGAAGTTGAAATTTTGAGGATAAGTGAACATTTGTGCCCAATTAAAGTAGTTAAGTACAGTACTACATTACAGGATTGTGGGATAAGGGCCGTCATTTGGACAAACTTGGCCCAGGTAAAGTTATTGTTGAATTTTTGGTCAACAAATATGAACCTCAAACTATAGTAGAAAGTGTAGGGAACAAAAAGGAAGATGGATGTTAACGTAATCTAAAACTATAAAGCAATTGAATGATGATGGCGTCAATCCTTACCTTTGTACCCTGGCAGGCTGTGTTCTGCTCGTATGCCTTGAGCTGAGCCCTTTTGTCCAGTTTGGTCCAAAGAGCCTTGACCTTCCATGACGTGACAGCGGCTTTCAGACTGCTGTAGAAGTGGGTGTGGTCCAGCGGGTCGAGCTCCAGCTGCCGACACAGGATGCTGAAGGCCTGCAGAGAGCCCTTGCAGGTGGTCGCCTGCACGAAGGTCTCAAAGAGCTGACTGGCCCGAGCAGTGCGTTCATCCTCAGTCTCCCCCATCAGCTCCAGACAGCTTCAAGGCCCCATGCTCTACCAAAGAAAACAGACACCATGGGCATGAGGATCATCAACTGTACACAGACAATCATGCATAAGTCATCTAAAACTCCCATTGACCGCTATGGGTTTTCTGTGGGCGACGCAAACGTTTGACTGGCCGAGGGCAGATTTAAATACACAATTTTCTTGTTTTGCTGCAAATAAACGAGAGTTGGTGCTAATGCACTAGTTAGAAATTAATAAATATTTTGCACAAGAGACTTAATTTCAGAAAAAGAAAAATAGGAGAAAGGAAGGGGTCCAGGACACTTTCTGGACCTTAATTGCAGTAATGAAAGTCAGTAGAGGAGGTATTCTTTGGTGAGGGGATGTCAATGTGTTAAATTACAAAAAAACCACAGCACCCTTTTAGCCTTTTAATAAATGATTACATTTAATGAATATGGGTTTGCTTTTTTATTATCATTATGCTTGGAAACTGGTGAGTAGACCGTAGTAAATCATTATTACCAATTGCATTTTGGGTTAAGTTTTAAATGAATTATGTGGTTATTTTCCTAAGGAAATTTGTTTCAGAATGAGGTATAACATGCCATGGCAGCATGTCGGACTGATGGGAAGAAGTTAATGTCAATAAATATTCTTTTAATAGTTAAATTACTCAAGTTCTCTGAATAATTTCCATTTGTTGCTATTTAAAACATTTAACTTGTTTCCAATGCACATTTAAAATAGCCATGTGCGTTAGACAAAAACAGTTGTAGTTAGTTGGGGAACTACTATAATCATCAGACACAGACTCAAACAAACACTTTTAGAGATGTGTATGAACACTAAAAAGCGACTTAATCTTATCTTGCTTTAAAAGACAAAATATAATAGTCAGCAGTCTACCTAAGTTAATATGCTGTGTGACTCCGGATAAAGTGAGCAGAACCAGGACAAGAGCCCAGGGAGCAGAGCTTTACAAAAGCCCAGAGAGCAGCACTTCAAACAGACAGTCATATGTCTCACAACAAAGGTTTCACCGCTCGCGCTCCCATGAACACCTGATAGGATTATGGTACGGTCTGTGCTCGCCGGGTTTCGACTGAGCCGACATCAGGATCTGAGAGTTTAAAACATACACACACGATGCACCACAGCCCGGGGCGTGTTGCATGATGACTTTCCAACAGCTCATGATACCAAAAATTTACATCTTTGATTAGATCAAGGTCTTCCTTGCTCACGGGAGCACGGAAGACCAGCTATTGTAGGATTACAAATATTATTATGAAACTGTAATATTACCTTGAGCTTCCAATGGAACAATATCTGGAGCCTAAATTAGCCTTCATCTTAGAAGCTTAATAAAACCTGATCCAACGTCATTCCAAAAGACTATGTTCACTTCATTAACCATTTCCAAAACAATCACTGGCACCACCAGCTGAAACTCTGAAACTGCAGTAGGGCTGCCCGATATATCGGAAAAACTGGTATTATTTATTTATTTATTAAAGACAATAAAACAGACAGACAAAAAAGTATAAAATATATGCATTTGAATGTTGTTGATTTTGTGCTTATTTTTTGTTATTTCTCTCTTGCGTTTCAATGCAGATTGCAATTATAGGTGAAAGACAAAAATATTGCAATAATATTGTTATCGAAATACTAAATACTCATTTCACACTCAACACACTCATTTCCAATATGTTGCAGCCCTTATTAACAAAGAGAAAGTCATCCTCAAAGTGTATTCTATAGAAAATCAAACAAGTGGTTATAGCTTTATGTTGCGAAACCTTTTTTTCCACATGCAAATGTTGTGTTGTGTGGATTGTGTGAATGTGTGTGTATGTGTGTATTTATGTTGATTGTGCAGGTCTTCCCTGTTTTGTAATGTTATACTTTCTGTATGAAGCGCAACAAAATAAATATTTGATCACACACATCACCATTTCGGTAATATGTGATAATTTGATAATTTTCAAAGGCACCCCAAACAACACCTCAAAGCACACAATGGGCCACGATACACTGGTTGAGACCATGGATCTATAATAATAACTGGATAGGGCACAGGGGGCGCCCGTGCTACTGCAAACTAAATTCACGCGGGCTACCCAGAAAAAAGTCCCATAGAACTCAATGTAAATTAAAACAGCTCGACCTCAGCTGAGAGAGAACCTACAGCTTTCATTAAAGTGGTTCTCACCCCCGCTCCTCGGAGCTTACGTCACTCACATTTCCTGTTCTCTAAATGGGCGTAGCCTGGAGGACTAAAGGGGGCGTGAACGAGACTGGGCCGTTTATATAGCTCTGGGCGGGGGGCTGCTGACGTCAGGTCTTGCTTCAGACGTCAGGTCTTGCTGCCGCGCCAGTGTTGGCGTCAGATTCAAAATTCAAATGTAGCTTTACAGGTCGCCAGCAGATGGCGCCTCACAGACGGTTTTAGGCAGTAAGTTTAACTTTCAACTAATTTGCACCAAAGTGACAAAATTATGACCAGGATATGTAGACAACACTATTGGACACTCATTTATACCGTTTATCAGCAAAAAAAAGTGGATTTGAGGGTGAGTTGTCCTTTAAGATTGGATTTTGTGGGGATTTTAGTGTCCCTTGTCATCCTGAACTTTTTTTCTTCTTAAATCCTTCTGTTTTCTTTAAATCCGCACTGTACTGCCACAAACTCTGCTCCTTTCCTTCCCGCTCTGACTCCGCTCTACCGCTGCTCTGATCAGCAGCTCTGATTGGTCAGAACGCAGCCGAGCCCCACTGTGCGCATGCATGAAAGCCACACACGCACGTTTGGAGCACCGCATCATGGGAGCTCGTCCACTGCGCAGAACCAGGAGGACCAGACGATGCCCAAATATAGGCGAGTTCTGCTAATCTCCCGGTCTCCGTGAAGTACCATACGCTTCTGAGTACAAGCCATTCATTTGAAGAGGGCGCCATCTTGGATCACTGGGGCTTGGTTAAGACGCACCACTAACCACATTCACCTTGGTTAGAGGTGTCAAACTCATGTTGGTCTGAGAACTCATCTTTTGCATTTGTGGTTTGTAGTTTTGACCAACTTTGTTTGGATATTCTTTTCTAGCAGATTTTTGGAAAACAAAGTGTTAATTTACGCTTGGATTTAGAAACTATGTCAAAGGTAAGGAACGATTGCTATTGTAGAACGATTGAGTGCATTTCGAGTTCACTTCCATTACATTTCGGGGGTCACTAAAAAAAGGTCTTGCATATTTGACACTCTTGCTTTAGAGCAGAGAGGATACAGTTTTTCACAGCATGCTGAGGACTGCTTTGTGTGCGTCACAGCAGCATATTCAGCATCCCCAAACACACCATGAGGCGGTGGCCCAGGGCAGGGCTCCGGTCTCTACATGTTGGCACCAGACACTGGTCTCTCGATTACCACAAACGTGCTCTATAAATGCTATGCTAAGTGCTCTGAGGCTGAACTGATAGTGTTGGGAAAGCTTCAAATGACAATTGAAGCATGCAACTCATTTTGTCACTTGTCTCCCATAGATTGCTTTACCTGGAACTTTCTACAATTGTTCATTTAAAAACATATCCAGCACCATGGAGAAAAACAGGAACTGTGAACCAAACAAACAGAAAACTATGGTGGTAGTCAAAAGAACTAAAATGACTTGAAAGCTTACACATGATAAAACAAAACAATTTTTTTTTGTTTTTACTGATAACTTGGGGAACTCAGAAGAAACTATTTCGTCGTATGACTATACGCTTATCTATAGGCCGAAAGTTTGACAGTACAGGAGATTTGGGTCTTTCCACAGATTGGATTGAGGTCTGAAGTTTGACTGGGTCCTTCTTACAAATTCATTTGTTTTGTTTAACCCATAGTGTTTTTTGTATATGTATTTTTTCACCATTTATCTTCCCATTAATTTTGACACACTTCCCTATCCCAGCTGAAGAAAAGCGGCAGGTTTTCCACTTGCGATGGTGTGAGTAGTGTTGATATGTTGATAACATCTCCCATTGTGAATTATTTGACCACTTCTTTACTATTCAACAAAAAAGTTTAAGAACAAGCACCATGCATCTAGGATGGATGATTCTGAGACTTCGGAAACAGGAAGTTGCAGAAGAAAGTTTTCCATTTGGAATATTCACGGTCTCCAGAGATTAGATCTCCCATCTCTGTGAGAACCAACAGTGAACATTACAATTATACACAGTCTAGTTTTTCTGGATAAAGTGGATTAAAAAAAATATGTGCCCGTCACCATCATCAATTACAAACAGAAAGATGTTAATTTATGTTCATCAGTGCAATGAATTTTGTGTATTGTACTTTAAAGTTATAGGTTTGAAAAGGCCACCTCAAGAGAGTTGACCAAAAAACGTTATTACTGCTTTTAAGGTTATTTAGCAGAGGGGGTTACAAGTTGACAACTTCCATAGCCCGGCAGCTACCAGTTCCAATCCTTTTCAAATAACTTCTGAAAATATTAAGAAGCTATAAATATTATGCTGAATACAATTTGATCATGAGAATATTGTTACAAATGCATAACTTTGTGCTGTTAAAATTGACTTTTGTTTCGGTGATATTCATGCGTCTGATGTTTGATTGTCATAGAGGAATGACATTGAATCAGCTATATATTATGATAACAATAATAATACATTGTAAGTACATTTAGGGTCAAAAGATTGCTTACTTCCTTGAGTGGGCTTGCACAGGTTGCAGACAGGAAATGTCTTGAATGTTTTAGTGAAATATCTATAAGACCCATCTGTACAGACACGCCCACTTACATTGATAAAAGCAGCAGGCTTCCTCGGCTTGGGACAAATTTTCACTGTACAAAATAATGTCCCAGAAGAAATCTATATTTATTTGACCACGGACTAAATGTGCATATTACACGTCAGGACTCCAAACAAGGGTAGTCTAACACTCATTTAGAGCCACAAGCAGACGATTTAGGCGCGTGTGCTATTATTTATGCATTTCTCATAAA